GCAGCTTGATACCACGCAACTCGTGTGCTGGATAAGCGATTCGTTGGTGTAATAGAATCATGGAAGTGTTATGAGTAATGTGGGCCAAAGTCATGTTAGGATCCATGACACCTGGCATTTCTCTACGCGATATCCCCGAATCCTTCCACTGCTGAGGCAGGAACATCTTCCAGCTACATACTGTTGTCAGCTTAAAAGCTACTTCAGGATGCGAATTATTACTTACTGAACTAAGCGTAGATCCAGTTCTTTAAACCGTGTCAGCCAATCCGAAACCTCTTTTCTGTTACTGAAGTTGACCTTCTCCTGCAGAAAGTAGGTGTTGATCCGGCTTAGTGACTCGATGGATTCGATGTAGTAGGCGAAAGCCCCGATACTTGACATATCAACGGGAGCCCATGCGACAGCCCCTCGGGTCTCAGGACGTGCCAGATTTGTAATAGCTTGAGCATCTACAGTGTTTGACTGCGACGGGCTGGAGTGATGGGTAGGAAGAAAAGTAATGGAGTTGCCAATCTTGGCTGAAGAACGATCCCATATGCCCAAGTACGGAGTCACCGCCGGCGTCTCGGCATACCAACGACCACCACAAACAGGTAGCCTTCGACAGACATCAACTGCTGTCAGACTGGCATTTCATCTTTCATTGTCCATTAGAGTCAGCAATTCATGATGCGAGACGCTGCAGGTACAATTGTACTTACCCGGTAGTCATTGAACAGAACCTATTTCATGTACGATGAATTAGCTCTGGATGGCTTGTGAACGCGCCGAACTGTGAACCGACCTGTCCAAGATAAATATGTTCCAGAATACCCTGCGTCGCTCTTCCTCCTCGACCCAATTTCTCGGCCCCGTAAGATGTGGCGAAGGGCGGATAAATGATGAACGCCTTTGTCGGTCTTCATCCTCATAACTGAGCTGCAGGTATTGAACTGATCTGGAGATCGAACCAATGATAGGCCAGGCTTTATCACACTCTCCGTTGCCAATCTATCAGGGTTTGTAAATCTTTGGGCGAGTGGCTTGATGGCTAGCTTCGGGGTGCCTACTTACATCAGAAAAGGCGACAATTGCCAATGCTTGCAGGCTTTCAACATTGAGGGCGTTCATTGAGGTTGCGATCACAAGATTTCGTGATCTTTGAACTTGCGATTTGAGTTCGCTTGGTTCATGATCCCTTCTCTCAATAAACCGTGACGCTGCAACCAACATTGCGTGCAAGATGACAGATACACTCGTCTTGTCGGAAGTCAGCAATCTTTTCCGGAAGCCTGCTTCTTGCAAGAGTGGAATCCATGGCTGAACTCGGGTGAAGTATGCATCAAGTAGCTCTGAAAGCTGGCAAGGAAAACCAAGCGTTGGGTCTTCGTACCCTAGGACTGGTGACTGTATGTGAGCATAATGCTGTTCCTCATATCTTGGTCGCTTATTTGGTCGAAAGGACTCTTGGTCATTGTGCCTGTTTCCGCCAACGCTTGGTTGTGGTCCACTTTTCGGAGAGCTCAAATGTGACACAAGACTCGCTCCAATCGTGGAATTCAGCTTGTTGATCTCAGTCGCAAGAGTAGAGAGAACTCCTACGATCGATGACGTCTGATTATCCACATGACCACCAGTTGAGGCAGTTGGTATCTTGTTGCTGCTGAAGACAGCGTTTTCCACCGCCTCTAGATCAAAGCATGAGCATCTGCACGGTCACGTACGAGACGCGTCTTGCTTACCAAGTCTTCTATTGAGACTTTCGACGGCGCCACCCTTTAGCCCCGGTTTATTTCGCCTGTTCTCATAAATGCAGTCAATCTCTGATTCTATTAGCATTGCTTTTATTCTGTCGAAAGTCGAATTCTAGAGTCGCTCACCAAGTCGTTCGCAATTCGAGCAAAGCGGTCTCTGGCGGGTGCACTTCAGCTTGCGCCGTTGGCAACCCTCGCATGATGGCAGATCAACTGCGGGAATAGCTCCATCCGATTCCGCAGGATTGGGACCCATTGCAGTCATTTGGAGTCCATCGGACATGCAGCTAACCATGGAATGCTGGGTGACAATTGCAGGCAGAAGTTGGCATGATTCAAAAACCTCGGCCCAAGTTGTCCCAGTAGTTGCGGGGTTGTGGAGACGGGACGCAGGGCGGGGACTTGGTGACTCCCGAGAGCCCATCGGTGTTCCGGGTTCCGGTCACTTGAGAAGCGGTCTAGACTTCAACGCCGACCACCAAAGAGTGGCCCAGGATGTCGAATTGTATTTTGCGTTACAGAGAGTAGGACACGATTCAACTTACAGAGAATTTTCACCGCCAATTCTGTGATGTTTGTGTCTCAATCCACTTCACTATACCGAAAGCCTCCCTGTCCTTTCTCTAAGTGAAAGACATCTCGTCACACGACGTGTGCTCTGGATATCTCAGTCATCATCTCAAATCATTTTGCCGTGTTTGTTACCTCTAGAAGACGTATAGAGCATGAGCGACGAACATGCCCCAAAATAGCAATGGCAAACGGGAGCTAACCCCGCTGACAAAAGCCCATAGGCGGCATATTTTCGATACTTGTTCGGACGAACAGTACATTGGTGGGTGAGGCAATACAAGAACGTGGAAATCATAATCTCACTAACCGCAGCCATTCAATGCGGTTGGCGAAGACTCGTCCGAGGTTAAGACACTTGTTAATGGTCGTGGTCTTATTTGGTACTCCTACGTTGTTCTGCCTCACTCGACCACTTCAGGTTTCCATCCGCCGAAATGAAACCACATTGGGTCGCAAATATTGCGATATTCAGGGCGATGATATAGCATCCACAATCGACCCGCCAGACTGCCCAAAGCGTGATCTAGTATGACTCGTTACTAGGGAACGCATTGCTGCTTCGCCACATCTTGTGTACAAATAAGCCACTCCGTAAGGCTGAAGAGCGCAACAATAAGGTTTGGGGATCAATTAATTTGGCAGGCGTGAGTGGATCTTGGCCTAGAAGCTAACGTACCGAAAAGCCGGCAGAGGGTAACAGTGAAGGGTTGAGAGCCGCCATCTTGACAATATTAAGATGCGATAGCAACGTCGCCACGCGTCAACAAGCCATTTCGGGAGAGTTCATAGGCGCACGGGAGGGATTCCCCGTGACTAGTGGAAAGAAGAATGAATCATGCATGTTGTGATTACAGCAGAGAAGCCTTTCACAAGAAATTCGTGAAGCATTACGGAGCGCGAGTGTTTTCGCGGCTGGAGTCTTGATGAACTCCGATGAATCCACCAGAAGACCCGTATGTGTCTTCGCAACCGGCTTCGCATCCGGGGAGGGGAGGGGGGAGAAGCAGAAAAAACGGCGTATGCGTTGTCCTGAGGGCGGCTGAGCTGCAAGACACCGTGAAGGTATGAAATTAATTGATTGAGCTCGGATATCAGCTGCTAAGTCCGAATGCCCGCCACTTTACAAGGTCAATCAACCGTACAATTGTGAGATACAACACATCTTTACCGATAGGATTTGGGACTAGAGAATGTGCGGTGGACGCTATGCGAGTCACGTAGCAAGAAATTCGGTGTGACCCCCAGTATTTGAAACCATGGTGGCCGTGATGCGAGTGGGACTGAACCAGCCCCAACGGCAGCCATCGTTGTGGCTCCGTCTGTCGCTCTCGCTTTCGCTCCTCGCGCCTGTCATGCCACTTACGAAATGTCAGCGTTCTCGATGTTCAGCCTTACCGCAAATGCATGTGCCGTCAGTTCCCAAATAATTCAATTCAACGGCTTAATGATGTTCGAAGAGCATGACCAGTATTTAAGAGCTGAGAATGCCCTTCTCTAGAGCTCTCCTGAACCATAAACGGCCTCTCACATCTCAACCAATCGCTTCAACCAGCTTCTTCAATCATTTGATTACACCAGTCGCTCCAAAGGAACTCAAACAAACATGCAGTTCTCTACCACTTTCGCCGTTCTTTTCCTCGCAGCTGCTACAAGGTACGCAACCGCTTCCTCGATCATCATCACTAGCACAAGCTTTGCTCCCAAACCTCCTGCTATTTCTCGTAAAACTATTTACCAGCTTTCTCCATTGCTGCACGTAGCTAATCAACACTATCTAGCGTTGCCGCTAAGAAGCACACTCAACTCTATTGCACCAACGCCAGTGGCTCTGGACAATTCATCTTCTCGTTCCCTGTAAGTCATCCAGAAGTCGATTTTCTCTATAAGTGATAAGCTAACGGAGGATGCAGAACGACGACGTTACTAACAAAGTCTGCCCTACTTTCTGTTCGGACTGTACGCTCGGTGACAACGACGGACACCGTGTCTGCAACTCTCCGAGCAAGCAACTTGATGGCGACGGCTTTGCGAGTGCCTGTGTTGCTGCTGGGGCTGATGGCAGCAAGTAAGTGCTGTATTCAGATATCTACAGACCTCGCCAGTGGCAGGTGAGGGCAACATGTGGTTCTTGTTCAGGATATCAAGTCACATAGTATGGGCTAGATATTGTTTAGATAACATACCTTCGCACATAAACATTGTTTTCAGGCTGTGCTACTTCATTTTGATGTGTTTGTACTCAGGTTTTCGTGGTGACGGTAGTTTCGTGTCGTAACTCTGGCCAGCTAGGTGAGATACGAACTACCATGGCAAGTGTGTGCTGTACGTCTAGCCGTATTATGCTGACGAAGTGTCGAATTGTCCATCCCTAGACTATTCAATGCAGATCCCAGAATTATATCCTCGCTCAGCCCAGGATAAGGAGTATCCTTGGAATCCATCCCCTTTAGTTCTGCCATGTACCAGCTCTTCAGCTGGACTTGAAGAAGCTCTATGCACTACCTGTTTCGCTGCTACGTGTTCTTCACATTGTATGTTAGTTAAACCATCTGGTCGGTACTAAGACTGTACTTCTTTGAATTCCTATTGAACCCAAAGGCGTGAGTCAATCAGATCATTGAGGTTCATTTGAATCTAATTACAAATGGAGAGACGCGAAAGTGTCGTATGAGAGAGACCAAAACATCCGCTTTATACTTTATACCTCCACTCACTATTGGCTTTCCTAGCTGAAAAGTTGCTGTTAATGTGCTGCTTCATGTCCAGTCTCTTGTTGTGGGCGACAATGAACGCCCACGTCGCGGATAAAATGCAGAATGCAATGATGACCAAAATCATGCTGATTGTCATCCCTCTCTCGTAGTACGGTCCATCGCTCGTCTTGAAGATCCATGCAGAGATGTAACTGGAGGTATTACCCACTCCCACTACGAAGCCACTTCCGATAGCGCGTTGAAACGGTGTTTGCAGGTTTTGTATCGTCAATATCCAGATCATAGGGAGTGTGATGAAGGTACCAAAGGCGATGAAGTAAAGAGCCATCATGGTAACACTTGAACTTTCGTGTTGCGCCTTGCGCAAGACCGCATAGCCAATGATCGTGAATACGAACCCGACGAGGCCGAAAGCCGACCGGTGGTTGAGTCGATCAGCCGCGAAAGCAGTGGCAAGACACGCAACAGCTGCGACAACGAAGATGGGAACGATTTGGGCCTGAATGTCGGCGGCGCTCAGTTCGGGATGAAACGACTTTACAAAGGATGGCGAGAAGATTGAGACCGAGTAAGCGGTGGTAGTGGTGAAGCAATAAAGCGTTGCCCAACAGTAGTTGAGTGGGTTCAGGAAGAACATCTTCCATTCAGCCCATATGCCGATCTGGGTGGTGCGGGTCTCGACTGATGCCTCGATAATTCTCCTCTCTTCCTCCGTGAGGAACTTGGCCTTTTGAGGCGGTCCAACATTTGCGAAAGCACAGAGCAGAGCGGCCGCCGCTGTGAAGCTGCCTTCGATGATAAAGATCCTATTTGAATGAGAAGGGAGGCATGACGACAATATGGACAGAATACTTACCATCTCCATCCATTGAAGTTGTTCGTCGTCTTGATGTTGGCGATCGCGTAGGCGAGAAAGTTTCCCACGATGCTTGAACAGATGTTTGCGACGGTGATCAGACCGAGCCGCCATTGAAGGTGCTTAGCTGGATAGTAAAGCGAGCAAATGAAGACGCATCCTGGAATGAGCCCTGCGTCAAAAACACCGACGAAGAATCGCGTGACTATGATCTGGTCGTAGTTTTTGACGAAGCCTTGCGCGATCGTAATGACACCTTCGACGTAGTCAGAAACAGCGACAAACAGAGGCATAAGACTCTGGCTTACCAAGCAGCAAGTCCAAAAGACACATGTACCACATGTATGAGAAGTTGATTTTGCGATCCAGCCATCGCATGAGAAGATTGCTTGGAACTTCAAAGAGAATCAGTGGCGCCGCTGGCATGGTCAGAACGACGAAGACCTTCATCGCATCCAGCTTTAGATCCTGTGGTAACTGTCGAATGAGGGCTGCGCCGATATTGGTCCGACCCATCAGAGAGAGAAAGTTGAGGAAGAACATGGCGATCATCAAGTGCCAGTCGAGCTTGTAGAGTAGCTTCCGGTCGAAGACCCTCTTCTCAACCGACGATCCGTCATGCTCACTCTTTAGCGAGTCGGTTCTCGACCATCCCGGCTGCTCGATCACGCCGATGCTCGTTCCAATCTCGTCAAATTTCTCGAACTCTTCAATCATTCTTGAATTGCGCTTCGGTCGGTCCTCAATCTCCAGATCGTGGTCTTCTGGATTCGGCATCTTGGAGGTGTTGTATATGTAACCCGAGCTCAATGAGAAAGGATCAATCACAAGCCAGGGAAACAACAGAATGCACCTCAAGAGTCCGACATGTTTTCTTTTCACAAAACTGCGGCATAAGCAACTGCGATGGAGGATTTAACATCTCAGCCCGGTCTTGGTCCAGTCAGCGGGGAACTGCCAACGCGCCTCAGCCGATAACAGCCTTTGCGCATATTCTGCCACGTCCGTCCGTGAGTTCGCACACTAGGGAAGCTTATCGTGCTCCGGAAGTCTGTACCCAGCACAGACTTCATGTCAGTTAACGGAAACGAGACACTACGCATGCCGGATGTTGAGAAAATGTTAGACTTTGGTAGCCGGACGTCCCTCAGGTTCGTCCGTGCTTCTGACGCCGAGTCTCGAAACGGTGATGGCACTCAACACTGCCGGTTCAGCTTAACGGCCAACCACGAAATGACTAGAACAGCAAGTTCGGCGGCACATTGGTTCATAGTTCTCGCAGATTTGTTTGGGCACAAAGTCCGAACAGCTCGCATCAACTCTTGCCTATATAGGTCGAATGGGTGTATACAGAATCAGATGCCCGTTTTTCTGGTTTCCCTATTTTCAAGGTTTTGGTAAAGCTCACCATCTGACTTTCGGCGCTCGGCCAATGGGTCCGGCGCCGGAACAGCTCAATGTGCAGGTAGCTGCTGCCGGTAGGGAAATTTTACAGTTTCGCAAAGTTCGAATCGTGTGATAGAGTGTGCATGCATACAGATTCATGTCATCATCTCGATGGCGGTTGCTGAATCATCAGACTAGGCTCTTTCAGGACATCTTGCAATCCTTGACGAATTAGGTTTGCAATGGGCAAATCACGAGACGCCTTGTCTATTCATCTCGGTAGATCCTTGGTCTTTGACAGTCAAAGGTCCAGGATTGCGATCAGGCTTGGCACTTGAGTCTTCTAAAATCCATTGGCTCAGAGTGCTCTTTTACCATGTTCCAGAAGCTGTTATAGGGAAATGGGTTACAGGGATCTACATGCTCATTCGGTATCCATCCGTTGTAGACGGGACGCAACCATCAGTGCATATCAGGGTTCGATTGCATGAGGGGCTGAACTGGACAGAGATTCTTTGTAAGATCTGTATAACATTGTTGATTTTTACCGACCCTGTCCACTACAAAACATTGACTCCCTGGAGTCCTCGCAATAGGCTTGGAGGTATCGTGGGAGAGTCTGGGGATGCGGCGTTATCTCTCAGAAAAGCATTCATGGGCGCTTTCAGTCGCTGCCCATGCGTGTTGGGTAACTCCATTGCAGCACGCATAGGTTGATTCCCATGGAGCTCGGGCCTTCTAAGCTCCAGGCTTTTCCATGTGAAAAACACTGGAGGATCACCCGTATCCACGTAATGTTGTTTCGGCGCCTGGTGCCTTCCCCGTAGCCTGCGTATAAGCAAGAAAGTGCCAGCCGCTAACAAGATAACACCAATTCCGGCTCCGACCCCGATACCTGCCGCAGTGCCAGCAGCTATCCTTCCTTGGTCCCAAGCTTGTGCTTTATAGATCGTGGGAGCCGTTATGATTGGTTGGTGTTGAGAGACCCATAAAGCTTTATTTTAGCCGCGGGCCCTCCTGAAAATGAACAAAAACCTGAATTCACCCACTGTTTCTTGTGGCAGTCCGTCATTGATATTTTCAAAACGAACATTGACAGCATATGCACCGATTATCCCTGTCGAAAGAACCAAAGCTGTGATGATGCTGCTTTGCGACTGAGACTGTGTAACAGCAATGGTAGCTGCAGAGGTAATGCCTGACCAACAGCCAAACGTTGAAAGCCATGGCTGTCCACTGTATTCCGTCGCACTTTCAGAGGGACAAAAATACTTGCCAACACTTGTTGCATCCTTTAGTAACTGGACCAGATTATTGCAATCAAACAAAACATAGCAGACATATTAAAGATGCTTGCTTTGGACTGCAGATTTTCTGCTTGATCTTGCCCCCATCTCCGGAGAGAGTGGCTAGACAGGCCGCGGTGTAGCCGGAGGGACACTCCCCAAGCGAGTAGTACGATGCAGGAACAGGTGTGAACCCAGACGGGAAGCATTCCGGCGCCTGCGTGAATGGCGGGCCTTGCTGTACATAAGACTGGCCGTCCCGTTCTTCAAGCCAGTACTGATCTGGGCTGATGCAGGTCGGCGCTGGGGAAAAGATGGTGGTCAGCGACCCGAGAGACATGGTTGAATCAAAGATGGCTGGAAAGTCACACCGCGGTCCGCTGTTTGTATCCTGTGTTCAGAGCCATGACTGGCTTAAAGCATGTTTGCGACTTTTTGAAGTGCGAATGAGAAGAAACCTCGAAGAGATTCGTGGTAGGGGGGCATCCTGCAACCCCGGAAAGACGAGCACGCCACAGCGGAGATTCGGAGACTCGATTCAAGGGAGTGCACCTCTGGTGAAGATTTGGTGAGTTCTGTTGTTTGTTGGTAGTTTTTGGCGCGGTGACATGCAAGTTGTTGGTTGTTGGAACCTGGGTGTAAGTCAACAACCAACTATTATTGGACGCAGCGACCCGATTGTCTGGTACCCCATGAGAAATAGAACTATTTCAGGGTCATGGGGGTCTGCTTGACCATGGTTGTTGCCAGGGTCCGCAGTTTCCCCACGCTCAGCCTTCGTATCCCTTGTCTGCAGGTCAATCGAGGCACTCGAGTCAAAGACTGCTGTTCGCGTGAGGCGACGAGTGACATGGGGTCTGTGATATCTTTAACCAACATGCAGGAGTTCGCAGAAGCCAGGCTGTGCCCCGTCCGCACCTTGACCTTGGCAAGGGCCAGACACTTTCGTTGGCTTCTCGTTACCGCGCAGCCTTCTCTCAAATGGTTCTGGAAGTTACTTAGATTCGCAATGATTCGACGAGGAGACGAGGTCTTGGGGGCCAATGCCGAATTTGAACCGGTCAAGAGTGCGAGCTTCCCTCTCCTCTCTCTCACTTGCAGGGAATATTTACCGCGGTTGTATGCTGACGCCCACCGAGATCCCTTTTGAGGAAAACGCTCCCACCAAGATTAGGTATCGTGGCTAACCGCACCAACTCATGCATCAGGCTACCCATCCCACCTCGGACTCTCTCCGGAGCCCGTCGCTGCAATCTTAGGCACGCAATCAACGTTGCCTTGCTCCGCGTACTGAAATGCGTGCGGCCGTCGATCAGAACCCCAACATGGGTGATGATTCCCTCGGATCCCCTCACTCGACATCCAACGTGATTGGTTCAAATTGAGGTTGTCTTGCCTTCTCCCTTTGAGCCAAACCTCGTTAGCGAATCTTGGAATATGTCATTCACCCGTGTTTCACGGAGTTAAACCCCACGTCTCTTCGCATTCCCATCCCCCTCTTTGAGGGCGAGTTTCTTCTTAATTGCCCAAGATGAAATATATGGGGGTCCTCGCAAATTCATGATGGTGAACAGTCAATCCTGTGAAGACAAGGAAATGCCGTCTTCTCTGTGGCGAACTGCCAACAGGGCTGGGAGGAGCCCCGGCCCATGTGCTTTGTGACCGTATTCAGAAAGGTGGGAAGGGCAGAATGAGCAGACATGAGAGGTGATATCAGGTTGTTGGTTCGGCCGTAGAAGTGATGATTCGTTCGGTTCCACCTGGGTGATGCCGCGATGTGACGAGAATACAAGAACATGCTCTTCTTACCCTTCTCCCCGAGAGCCCATCCACCCAACCTTACTTCACTTCACCTCACTGCCAGCTCTTTTCTCAAACTTTCAGCGTTCCATTTGTAGTTTTGTTCGAGTAGCCCGTCCGGCTGCTTCACCCAAAATGACTTTCATTCTCCCTCGTGGGCCTAAGATGATCGAGGCCATCTGCCCTGGTTGCTTCAAGTCGTTTACCAAGATAGGCAGCATGCACCGCGTGAGTACTCCGTCCACCCAAATTTCTCAGCCAGCCCTGCTTATGTCTATGAAGCACATATACGAGGACCGTTGCCGCAATCCTGTCCCACGATTCGTCAAGAAGATTAAAGCTGAACACAACGCTCGCGTAGCCGCCGCCGCAGCTCGTTCAGCTGCCCGTGCTGCCGCGCGAGCCGCCCCGGCCGCGGCCGCCCCACCCCCGCCTGAGCAGAATACCAACACGCAGGTCAAGATTGAAGGCCAGGAACCCACAAAACACTGCCTACCGTCACTCGACTGTGGCTGTGGAGTGACATTTTCTCACAAGACTGACCTCGACTTGGTAAGGTTGGCCATTCATCAGCTCGTTTGATCAGCCTGACTTACTTTCCCACAGCATAAGAACGGCGGCTACTGTGTTGCCAAGCAATCCCAATGGCAGCCCCAACCGCAGCCTTTCGACCTCAACTACTTCGACGCCAACTGGATGGCATTCGATACTACGTGGGGACAGTCTTGGCCGCAGGCACAGCCCCAACTCACGAACTGGACGAGCACGAGTCCTGGATGTGCTTGATAATTAATCATGTATAGTATTAGGTATCAAGGGGCCCCCATACAAGACAAATAGATGGCCCAGGTGGGAATCATAATCGCGTCAATCTTCTCAACTTCCTCTACGTCTGTTATGTGCTAACGTCGACCACGCCAATCTTTTCGTACGTCGTGCCGTTTGTCCACTTCCATCCCACAATCTCCACCTTCGTAGCGTTCCTTTCTACGACGCCGTAAACCCGGCCCGCGAGGTTGGCTGCGATCTTAGTCGGCATATCGTCCCCAGACATGGCCGCAATTTCGCCCTGGTTCGTCCACTCGCCGCCAGAGTACGTCGTCAGAATCGGCGCCTTGCCTTCTTGCGTTGCCAAAACATGCATAGTGAGGTCGGTGTCATAGCCATATGAGAACGCTGCGAGGGACGAGTTTGTGGCGACGGTCGCGGGCAGCGTCTCTCCGATCCAGGTGTTGTTGTTGCTGAACACTGTCAGGCCGATGATTGCGCCTGCTGTGGAGATGTAAAAAAGCCTCATAGTCTTGTTCGTCTCGATCGTCTGGATGGGGATGAGAGACATGGAAGTACCCAAGGCCGGGGTGCCGAATCCGGTATCGATACCATTGACCTGCCAGTCGGTGGCTCCGCTGCCGATTCGACGGATGACGCGGATGACGCTGCCGGAGTCTTGGTAGACCACCAGGTTGTCAAGGTATGAGTCATTGGTATATTGGCCGTTGGATAAGAGTTGCGAAGTGCTCGCCGCAGTGTATGTGTCAGAGACGCCAGACTGGTCCCAGGTTGCCCCGTAGGCGGGGTTCCCATTGATCTGGCCCATGACTTTGTTGTCTTCGTTAAGGTAGTAGATACGGGCGTCGCGGGACTGTGTTAAAAATGATTAGTCAAGTCCAGCGGCTAATAGGATGAGGTTTGTCTTACCGTCTTGCTGTGCCATAACAGACTGTTGGAGATTGGTGTGCCTTCCTTCACGGTGTCCAGTACCTTGGCGTCGGCCGAGGTCCAGACATTTGTTGACGCATTCCAGTAAGACTGCCAGACCTTCTTGTTTCTCAGCTGAAAGAAGACCATCGAGTTCTCCCATCCATACTGATCCGTGAAATTCAATGATCCGATATTCGTCGCAGGGAGAATCACTCCTGTATCTGTCGAATTGTTCGTGTCTCCGCTGCTTCCGCTTCCACCGCTGCTGTCACCGCTTCCGCTCCCACTTCCACTTCCGCTGCCCGATCCGCTTGATGAGCTGTCTGATTGAGAGCTATTCGCAGCAGCAGCCGATCCAGCGACGCCTCCGCCAACACCGGCAGCGATCACGACAACAATTGCAATCGCCAGGACGATCCAAAACATCTTCCTCTTCATCCCGCATATTAATTTTGGCCTCTTCTCCTCGTGGATCTCGGTCACTTCTGGTGAATCGGGGTTCTCTTTCGGCGCGTAGTACGTCTGTCCATATCCCGTGCCGTTGCCGTGGCCGTTGCCGTGTGCCGCGTCAACGGCCTGCGGCATCGAGTAGTCCTGCCCATAGTACGGAGCCACCTCCGGGAGATCGGGGTTGTGGACCTGCGGTGCACTGCTCGGGTTCTGGTCGGCGAGTCGGAACTTGGTCAAGTCGTCGGCGTTCCATCCTCCCGCACTGCTGAGGGGCGACTGGCGGGTGTCCACCTCGAGCCCGCTGTAGTGCTCTTGGGCATACGCGTTGGAGTTTGGCGTCGTCATGATGTGGTGGTGGCTGCGGGTGTCATATCTGGACAAAGGGGGGCCAGAATCGAATCGGTTACCCGTTCAGTCCTCGCAGACCAGGAAAGGGAAATGCAAAGGTATAAAATCATCTCGGGGTCTTCAGGTGCGAGAGAGGGGGGCAGGCGGCAGAAAAAGAAGATTATCTCGCTTCCGGGGGCGGGCAGAATGCAACGGTGAACAGAGCGATCCATGAACAGGTATCCGTAATGCGGATCCGCGTCTTTGGGACTTTGGTAAGTTTTTGGGATGCTTTGAAGGCACCTCAGCGCGCGCTCGCCATCGTGGACGGGTGCGATTTGATGCTGCCAAGTGCCTTAGGGGGCTGAAGGATCCCGTCCCTTGCTCGGAAATTGCACGGCCTGGTACAGCTCATGTCTTGGTTTGGTTAAGCGCTGACCCGGTCTCCATTTCCAATGGATCGGAAACCCGCGAATGGCTTCCTGCTCAGGCGTCTCATCGGCCGGGATGCCAGGCGCTGTGCCACCCTCTGGCCTCGGCTGTAGGATTGACAATCAAATAAAAAGAGGAGCCGCTGAACCATGATCGTGGGGTCTGAATGGCGGCAATGGCCCGCCAAGTAGGCCTGGCCTCTGCATGCTGATTCCCAGCGAATCCTTCGTCCCCTAAAGAGAAGCTGATCCATGTTTGTTCGCGTGGTTTCGAGGCTTGCTATCCGTGGCGCCAGAACTGATGACCCACAAGCTGAATGGCGGATGGGATCTTTGGTGTAAAGGGAAGCCTATTGCCGCCCGCAGGCAGCGATCAACTGGCAGGGCTGATTCAATAGCAGTATCAGTCTTGGTCTGGCCAAGCGACTTGCCAGGGGCCATAATTCGGTGCCTAATGGACTGGGAGGCTTGGATCCGACGGCGAACGGAGTGGATGATGATCCCCGTTGTCGGCAGCAGTTCCGCCAGTCCGGACGGAGTAGTCCAATGATTGATTGTGCGGTCTAGATTCCTGTCACATCATCTTTTGCTACCAGTCATTATCAGACAGCTCCGTCTCTTGAACAACCCTCGATCTGGTCACTCGTATGTCCGTTGTGCGTCCAGACACTGAAATGATGGGGTGGCTGCCCACCATCAGAACCCCCCGACGCTAGAGAACGGGTAGAACGGCGGCTAGACAGCGGCACGGTTGAGGCGTAGTGTGTCACTTGCGTTCCTCGTTTGGTGGGTGGCTTTATGCTTAAAATTCCCCCATTACTCGCGCGCAAATGGAGCCATTAGGGGCCAACGGGGGCTCATTTTCCTCCATCTACCTAGACATTGAACCACTTGAACCTCTGCTCATTGTTTGTTTGAGATGATTGCTCCTCACACAACTGTTATTGCGTTTAGTTGACAGAGAGCGTGACATGGTTGGAGAAGTCGACGTGTTGCTGATGAGACGGACCTCTTCCTGCGGCCCATCCAATGTCTCGGGGACGCTCAAGGCGGTGTCCGCTGGAACACAGTGACAATCAACGCGCCACAACTTCGGTATCCCACCGCCGCCAGTCATCGCATTCTGAAGGTATCCAGTAAAATTGCCTTTTCAGTTGTCTTGCTACCAGCATCCGGCGTATTCAGCGTCATCGTGCGGGGTGCTCACAGCATTACAAATGCGATGCGCAACGTTGAGCGTCACTTCCCTGAGGCCGTAGCTTCAAGAACACAAATTCCAGCATAAAAGATCGGAAACCACCCAATACCACACAAGTTGATAAGATGTACACTTTTAGACAACATAACGAATCGTTCTCGTAAGAATGGAATACGAGTATAAGATAGCGTCTTTGGGAGAGGCTTTGGGGGAAGGGTTGCGCCTAGCCTACATCGATGAGAAGCCCATATCTCAGGCTAAGGGCGTCATCGTCCTCATCCATGGCTTCCCGCAGACCTCGTACCAGTACCGCCATGTAATCAAGCCTCTCATATCTGCTGGGTAAGCTAACATTATTTTCCTCGGATCATTTATCATTTACCTTAGACTTCTCACAGATACCGTGTCGTCGTGCCCGACTACCGTGGGGCAGGCCTGTCATCAAAGCCCGATGGCGACTTCAGGAAAACGACCATGGCAAACGACATCGTCCTTCTTCTGGACCATCTCTCCATTACTGGGCCGGTGCACATGGTTGGTCATGACATAGGAGGGATGATCGCCTACGCCTTCGCAACTCGTCATGCTGAGCGCACAGCGTCTCTCATATGGGGCGAGTGCCCGCTTCCCGGTACCAAAGCTCATGAGGAGGATCGAACAATCCACGGAGTGCAGCAATTTCATTTTCTCTTTCACTCTGTTCCCGACCTTCCCGAGGCTCTAGTCTCAGGTCGCGAGGAAATCTATCTGAGCCATTTCTTCGACAAGGTGTCGTACAACCGGTCTGCAATCTCGCAGGCAGATCTGGAGTACTACGCGTCAATGTACAGCCGCCCCGGTGCTCTCCGTTGCGCTTTTGGAGTATATCGAGCTTTTTTGACGGATGCGGAGGAGAATCGGGCATGGATTGAGATGCACGGCAAGTGCAAAGTGAGGTCACTCGGACTCAGTGGAGGAAATTGGCGACACAGGTTTGCTGCGCCGGATATGTTCAAGGAGGCACATGAACATGGCACGATAGAGGTCAGGGAACTTCCCGAGAGTGGGCACTATGTGGCTGAAGAGAATCCGGAGGGCTTTGTTCAAGTTGTCTTGGGTTTCATCGACGCATAACTTATTGGCTGCCCGAGATAGTCAACATGACCAGGTGTCTCGATTTTCAACTTGAAATGCTGCGCCGTTTACACCAGGAAACTCTAGCTCCACCTTCGGGCATAGAACATAAATTAAACTCCATTTGAATGCATGCTTGCTAATCAGCATATTTGGTTTCCTCTTCACATCTTCCAGTAGCTTTCTCCGTCATGAAGGCTCGACCCGTTCTTGCAGCTCGGGTGGTAGTAATCCTCCTTGCTGCCCATCGGCCACATAGGAACGAAGCAAACTTCGTTCAGGCTACAACCCGTGCATCGCTTGAAACGACTCCATCCTAGGAAATCCATCAGCGACCGCATGGCTTCCGTGGATGCCTTGACATCCGATCTGCTGATCTGGAAAGAACTAGACAGTTTCTCTCTCACTCCGAACAGAGTAGAGCAGATCTCTGAAGTCACAGTCTTGAATGACGCGTATAAGAGGCGGTCGGCTTCCGTAGACGGGGTCATGATCTGGAGATAGAAGGTTCTGCAGAGAGACGCGGCCTCGGCAAGATCAGGTTTTCCGTCGTCTCCTGGGTAGCTGATGAAGACATCCAGAATGAAGTTGATTTCCTCTAACAACACAGATGATGAGTCGGTGCTTGCCATGAACTCGATCCTGTCAGCGAATCGACCGACGATGAGGTCAGAGATGCCCTGCCAATCTACCGGAGACCTCTTGACTCCTTTGCTCGACTCGATTGCCTCGTGCACATGGTTCTTGATAACCTCAAGCTCGGCCTCGGATACGTACGACAGTCTCGGAAGATCAGGTCGGCTCTCATTCGGGTTGGTCAAGTTGACGGGATAGAAGAAAGCAGAGACCATGGATGAGTAGTCAATCAGCGTTCGTGAGGCGCCAATGCCCTGGTATCTCTCTGCCCAGCCGCGCAGAGTCTCAAGACGGTTGATACCTCCGTTACGGTCGTTGCGGCGGTTTGAGCTAGAGCGACGTTGGGCCTGAACCTGCTCCAGGCCGTTGGTGAAGTCGCACATAATGATCTCAAAGCCAGCCTCCATGCGCAGGATGCCATGTAGACCCCAAGGTTTCACAAGGTCGCAGAGTTCAACTGCACGCTCACGCTCTCCCATCGGCCCGCCGCCTCTTACTTTGCTTGAATCCGGGTCAGCCCATGAGTCGGTTTTACTGCCTCTCAAAAGGTAGTCTTGTGAGTCGAGCGTTCCCATCCTCGTCTTGCCACCGCTCATGCCGTCGACGTAGAGGAGGTGGAGATCCTCAGAGGCTCGGTAGACGTGCAAATAGCCTCCTTCGCCTTCAGCACGCTTCTCTCTCCGCCCACTAAGAACATGTTGTTGGTCTGCATCCTCATGAGCAGGTGGTGGAGGCGGGCCTCCCGGGGGTCCTCTTGGTGGTCCTCCTCCCGGCCGTCCACCGGGTGGTCCGCCCGGGGGACCTCCTCCCGGCGGTCTGCTAGGACGACCACGTGCGAACTCTTCCGCATGTTCAATCTCATATGCCAACCAGTCCGGTTCTGAAGGCGAGTTGGGGCTATTGTTTCCGTGGTAAAGGAGCACGCCGGCTGGGACGGTTGCTGGGAAGAAAGACATGCCATTGTGATGAAGCGAAGAGCCCCACTGGCGCATGGAATCATGCACTGCATTGAAGATCTGGGGTCCCCGACGCCGCGCGAACTCTTCGCTGGGTCGCAATTCGACAGGGTCGCATTGTGCTAGCGTGGATAGCGAAAACAGGAGAAATATTGAATCAGGAATCGACTTCATTTCGGCAAATGTCCAGCGTCGTAGCTGGAAGGGAAATGTCGTGCTCGTCCGTGTCCAAGTCGTCGCGGTTCGAGGAAGCGGGTTCACGGTCACATCGACAACACAAACGGCGGTGTCGATGGTTTTATTGAACATGGACTGACTCGGCCTGGGTTCGGATTAGGCTTGGCGGAGCCCCGAAGACGCGTGTTCAAAATACCGGAGACCGATGCGCAGGTTTCCGGGTCTCAAAGAGCTCGCCATTAATTGACACTAACCAATTATGGACGAGAACAACTCGATGCTTACGACGACGGGGTTCAAAGTGCTTGACAGCCCTGCTCTGATTCGCTCAAACCTGGAAACTGTTGGATGTGGGCGCATCAACCGGAACATCGGCAGATTGATAAGATAAGATTCTGTCAAATGAAGCTGGTGTCTTAAATCCGACAACCGGGGATAATGGCTGTTCAAGAGGCACAACACGTCATAAGTTGTGACGTTAGTGGTCGTTGCTTGCCATCTGGTTCAGGAATTATCTTCTTTGAAAATTCTACCGCGCATAAACAAGACAATGACTGGCCCTTCACAACCGAGTAGGCAGTGCAATCAACCACCGCACTGCCCCCATCAGATTTACTGGCAACAGGGGTTGAGGAGTAACAGATGACGACGCGGCAGGCTGAGAACACGCATGCAATCTACAATAGCGTGCAAGCTGATTTACGGAGTCAATTAGAAGAAAGTGGCTGTACGAGTAAGAAATCTGATGAGCAGCTAACTGCGGACAAAATCCTTCATCCCTAAACTCTGCCTCTCTCCAAGAACTTATTCGGAATATCCACATGTCTCGACCGGATATACTCGCACAAGTTCTTACCTAAACTGTCGAAGCTACTCGTAGAGTTGAACCCTCGGTCGAGGTGATCCTTCAAAAGGAAATGCACCGCCCGAATGTTCGGGAACTCGCAGCGGTCAATCTGCCGTCCCTTGTCGTCCTTGCCTAGCAACTCTCTCAGTTTAGCAGTGCTCAGCAACGACCGCAGCCAATCCCACTCGTCATCGTGGCGAACGAAGAGTCCAAGATTGGCATTAGAGCTCTTGTCCCCAGAGCGGCCGAGTACCACCCAGCCAAGCGGACCTCGTGTGGTCTCTCCAAACTCTTTCAAATCAGCAGCATTCACCGTGTCATAGCTCGGCTGCTCCCGCTCATAGTCTCTCACGTTCGTCGGCGCAGGGATGTCTAACACCGTCCCGTCTGGCAAATGAGCAGTCTCGTGAACGAATGTCTGTGGCAGCAAGCTGACCCAGTACTCGAAGAACGGTCTTCCGATGGCGGTCCTCATGTCTGGGGCCATTGTACTTCCGGGGTAGCCCTGGAGCAAGTTCTCGATGCAGAATCGTGCAAATGAGCCACGATCAGAGTCAACGAAGTTGTTCCCAGAGAGCAAGTCAGGGTCCCGCGTCTGGGCGAAGATGCGCATGTCGACGGTGGCTTCTTCCTGAGACTGAGGGTCTGAAGGCACGGCCCCAGCGACCATGAAGCGAAGACACGAAAACTTGTTGATATGATCGCCCATCAGGGCTTTTGTCTGGCGTTCGACCATGGCGGCTTTCTCTTCGATGTCGAGACCGGTGAGATAGAAATGGAACTCAGCTTGCCATCCGCCCTTGGCAGTGATGCCGACTGTCTTCTTATTAGATGTGGTACGACTTATTATCAGCGTGAAAGACATACCTTTGGTAGTTGAGGGCGGCGGAAGACCCTTGACGCCGGAAACATGAACAGCGTTCTTGCTGATCTGCTTCAGGTGCATGTCTTCGATGGAGGCTGTCACGTCTGAGTTGTAGTAGAGTGGTCCTTGGATCTCGTAGAGGAGCTGGCTAGCAATGGTGGCAGTGGTGACAAGGCCATGCTTGCCTTCCTCCATCGTAATGACAGCCTCTCCTTTCTCGTCGATGGCTGCGACAGGATCTGGACCTGCGTCAGGAAGCTGTTTTTCGTGGGGAATGTTAAGCAACTCACATCCCATGTCAGTATCATTAAGACCAAGGTCTTTGAATCCCGAGTAGTATCCTCCCGTGGCATATGTGCTGCATTCAATAATGTGCCCGATCATCAAAGCGCCAGCCAGCTCGGAGAGATTATCGCGGGTCCAGCCATGCCACCACATTGCAGCACCGACCGTGACAGAGGCATCAGCAACGCGGCCACAGAGGACGATGTCAGCGCCAGCCATGAAGCACTCTGCGATACCCGTCCCGCCGAGATAGCACTGGGCACAAATGGGATCAAATCCCCACTCCTGAATTGGCCTGTTGGCGGGAAGGTTGAGGAATTTCTCGCCTGTATGATGGTCAATAAAGAGAAATTGTGAACATTTGACCAGGAAACTGAACCCAACCTTTCTTGTATAGATCCAACACAGCGTCCGTGACATCATCGCCATCAACAACGCCGACCTTCAGCTCAACGCCATGCTTCTTGATGAGCCCCTTGACCGCCTCAGCAAGTCCATGGACATCGCTCGCCCCGGCGTTGACAGCGATTTTGACACCGCGTTTCGCCAGCCAGGGGATGGCGGGATCAAGCTCATCCAGAAAGTATGGCTCGTAGCCCTTGGCAACCACCGTGGATCCAGATGACATGGATTTTTGGGCGAGGCGGTCGCGCTTATCAGATCCGCGAAGAGTCATATTGCATTCGGACATCCAGTCGCCGGTGATCACATCGACGTCCTCATTCTTGGCCATGTCATGGATGGCACGTTTGCGGTCGTAGACACCTGCCGGACGATAGGGTCAGCGGCTGAGATCTGTCAACGAGGAAGAATCAGACAAACCTCCAGAGCAGCCTGAGACTCTGATGGGCCGCTTCACACCATGGCCATTGCCATTTGTGTTGTTTGTGGTTGCACTCGGTGCCATTGTGCAAGATTGTGTGAATAGGAAGCAAGCAATGTATTACTGGTTAAAACCAAAGCGACTTTGAAATTTGTTGTCTTGTCTGTAATGTGATCTCTACTGCTTTTCAATATTTCAATGCGTACAACAGCTAGTGAAGAGCTACAATATGAGGTGTCGCCTGCAGTTTCCTCCGTAAACTCCGTATGAAGAGCACCCGTAATTGGACCAGCATCTGAGGAAGCCATCGACAGCATTATCGAGTGGGGTTTCAATCCAGTCATTGCCTGCCACAGGTTGGCGCTAATGATTCAGTACCCGTCAAATGCAAGATGGAGGCGGACCTCCCCGCAGCTGAACCCTTTGCCGCACAGCACCCCGCTTTGCTGCCGAAGCTACCCAACAAACCGGATGATGAAAGGCTGCTAGCTAGGGCACCAGGAACATGGATTCCAGGACTTGTGTTAGGTAGTCATTTCGCGTGTGTGGAAGCTAAGGGTCCAGTCCAATCATCAAAACTTTGAAATGCCACTCATATCTACTGGGTAGGCATCGTACACGTTACGAGCTCTTTGTCACATCACGATCAATATCCAAGAAGCAAACTTTGATGATGGCGTTAGGGATGATATTGAGGCGGATTCTGAAGCAAATATAATACCCTCATCTATGTGTCTTTGTGCAGAAACCCGTCTGTCCATTTCAGAAACGTCCACGTCAAGCCGGTCCGTAAGTGCTTGGTGTTCTTGATGCTTTCCGCAATTGCTGTGCTTTTGACGTGGACATCCTTCAGATATGCCTCGCTCTCATACACCTCAACAGTCCAGAGCTTCTCCCTATCCTCGGAATCTCTGGCCAATCCGTAGACAAGAGTTCCTTCCTTGTTCTCTCGCCCTTCAATCACAACACCCTGCCAGTATGGTATCGATGTTGCCGATCCTCCAGGATGGTAGCCTAACTCAGCAATGATAACCCAAGGGTCCTTCTCTTTGTGCTCGGACACCTTTGCGCGCGAGAATAAGAAGTCATCCGATGGAAGGGACAGAAAGTGCGTGCTCGGGGTGCCAGCAAGTGGGCTTGGGTTGGTTGCGCTCATCCATGATACTAACTTCTGGACGTGTGGAAGTGCCATGTGAGCGTCAAAGTCGGCCTTGGACGGGTACTCCTCGACTACGTAGATGGTGTTCTGTTTCTCTGGGTCCCGCGACAGGAAGATTGCGTATTTCGATGTACCGGATTCCTTAGTCAAGGCATGCTCTGCACCGAACGATAGTTGACGCAATGCCTGATCCGGAGATATCAGTTCTTAAAATCTGGATGGTAGAGGATCCGGAGTATACGCACATCATCTCGGGCCTCTGTGCTAGACAGAGGGACAATTGCAACAATCAAGATCCTCTCACTCATAGTTGCGTCGATTCAGGGTCAGCTTTCAATGTAGCAGGTTAGGGGATCCGGATTCTGTATGCAATGTCATACAATGCTAATCTTCTGCCGGGATGGTAGCATTCTTAAGATAGACAGTGCCTGGATATCCCCGCGTAGCATCTCACACCTGCGTGAGTTTATCCGGGTTGGCAAGAAAGGGGTGCGGTGGAGACCGGTTGCTGCAAGGAACAAGATCGACGTACCATGGGTGCTCAAAAATGATTGGCATTTGACATATCACTCAGCTCTAGCGTTTTGACGATGATCTAAACCGAAGAGTTGTGAACCATTGAATCGAATATTCTTGATACAAAGGTAATGGCTCCGTGAGTGTTGCTGGTACAACATACTTCTGGGTGTACAGACAAGAGGCCTGGGTCCTCAACGTTGCTTAGCTACTATCCGTCGGTTGCTCCCTCCATGCTTTGATGTGACTTCAAAGTTTCGCAACGAATCTTCTTCCCTCATCTAATGAACACTCTCCATCGGTCATCTTGACCAGATCCCTCCTCAGAATCTTGCCTGTCGGATTTCTAGGAAGTCTCTCAACTGCCCATACCCCACCTCTAAGCTTCTTGTACCCACTCACCTGGCTATCAACGACCTTCTGGATATCTCTAAGTCTTCGACGAATCTCTTCTCTTCTCATCATGTCTCCATCCTTAAGTACAACCCACGCAGTAGGTACTTCGGTCAGCTGGGTCTCATCCCATAACGCCCCGACACCCGCTTCCTTGACAAGTGGATGTGAGTTGACGATCTGTTCTAGCTCCGATGGACTGACTTGAAAGCCTTTGTATTTGATCAAGTCCTTTGTGCGTCCAACGATGAAGAGTCTTCCCTCCGTATCGAAACGGCATACATCTCCTGTATTGTACCAACCCTCCATGCGGAAAGCTTCCTGGTTGGCCTTCGGATTAAACGCATAGCCACGAGTGATATTGGGCCCTCTGATCCACAGCTCTCCGGGACCTCCTTCCGGTGCATCTTCAGTTCTTCCTTCCTTCTTGAGCGCCGCCTCGATACCAGGCAGCAGCCTTCCAGTCGAGCCGTCGGGGACTTCCTCGTCGAAGCCCTGGTAGGCCACATAGCCAGCGGCTTCCGTCATCCCGTACGCCTGGATGAGTTTCCATGGAGCTCGCCTGAGCAGTCTTTCGATCTGCTCTGGTTTCAACGGAGCACCACCGATGTTGATGATGTGCGCTTTTGAAAAGTCAAATCGCTCCGTTATGTCCGAGTTTGCGAGGCTTAGTACAACGCTTGGCACCCCCTGGAATGAGGTCGCTTGGTTGGAGCCGACCAGTTGACCAAACTTGTCGATATTGTACTGTGGCATTGCGTGATGAAACATGCCGGTGTAAGGCCCAAGAAATAGAGGCATTGTGGTCATAGCAATGTGAGCCCACGGCGTGAAGGCCACTGTCCGAGAGGAGACGTTGAACATCTGGTGCTTGCTATCAAGCGCCACGAGCTGGAGTACGTTCGACACAAAGTTGAGATGTGTAAGCTCAACTCCTTTTGGTTTTCCGGTTGTTCCAGACGAGAGGTGTATTGATGCCAACCGCTTTGATGTGTCCGGCCAACGAGGTATCGCGAGCCGTGATGAAGCAATGAAGTCGTCAGGAACATGCTTTACCCCCCTTGCCGGCTTAATGATTGAGAGTATTGTCGGACTATCCCATTGCACTCCCAGCGTAGACAGCTCCTTCGCGGCAACAGCGACAGCGTCCTGAATCGCCGGCGTAATGGGACCATACGCAATTATGAAGTGCGGCCTTGATACCGCGAAACCATGACCGATCTCTGACGACTTGAGTGCATGATTGACTGGGCTCACAACACCTCCAGTCCATAAGATAGCATGGAAGATTTCCAGAAACTCAACGCTGTTGGGAAGTACAATCGCCCAACGAGCCTGATCCGGCGGACTCAACCCATCCTTCAGCCCCTGCGCAATTCTCCCGGCGCGGTCGCGAAGTTCTCCAAGCGTAATGCTGCGGTTCGTCAGGCTATCCGAAGCGATGATGTGAGATTCCGGTACTGATGTAGCCGTAGTATGAAGCAGCTCTGTGAGGTTCAAGTCGCGTGGTATGTCGATAGGCTGTGAAGTGTACGTCCTCATGTTCGCGGTGGTCGGTGCATCACTTTGAGTTCAGTCACAGTTGGGATCGTCGGATGAACGAGTTCGACATCGAGCAGCCTGCTGAATAACGAAGAGAGAGCGTGACTGAGAACTCGTTTTGTCTCTTCCGCAAATCTGTCGGTACGATGCGGCATGGGTTCGATGAGAGGCAGGCATTTCCAACCGCCGTCCGAACGTTGCCTGCTGAGTCGCCGTGCATCCAGCCGTCTGGTTGTCATCATCCGCGGCTCTTCTGTCAATGCGGACTCTCCTCTTAGAGAGGGAGGGGAGGGGAACGGACAGGGAACGTCTTGGCGGCAAAACGAAGCGGCAGAACGGTCGAGAATGTGTCACGTCGCCCAAGACACACCACTCCCAGCAGGAGGGGAAGCATTCGGCGTGCGGGGAGCGAAGATTCTCCGCATGAAACCACTGAATCATTAGTTTTAGTCGCATCGGGGAGCTTCCGCAGGCGAGGCATTGGATAAGAAGTTCCGGCGGTCATCCTTGTGTGTGTTTCGTTCCTTGCCGAAGGTGTAAATGTCAAGGCGGGCAGCTCGAGCGGCGGCGGCGGCGTCGGCGGCGTCGGCGGCAACCTCGGCACCTGCTGGCTCGGCTTTGGTGGGCGAACAGTCTGGTGATGGCCTCGTTCTCGTAAACGATCATCGTGTTTGAAATTGCGCTCTCCACGGGCTGTTTCGTAGAGCGGAGCAGCAAGCAGCATCCTCCACACTTACCGTCTTCCTCACTGTTCACAATGGCACCCCGACGTCCCATCCGCATCGGCAACTGCTCGGGCGCCATCAACGACGGCATCGACCAGATCTATCGTCTCGCGAAGTACGGCAACGTCGACGCAATCACAGCCGACTACCTCGCCGAGTTCAACATCGCATGGAAAGCCATCGAGCTGCAGACGTGTCCGGAGCTGGGCTTCGAGCCGAACTTCCTTGAGCAGCTTGCCTGGCACGGCGGCGACGCGGCACGCCTGGTGGCCGAGAAGCGCATCAAGATCGTTCACGATGGAGGGGCGCTGAATCCTCGGGGGCTGGCCGAACGGACAGACACGTACTTCAGGAGCCTTGGCATCGGTGATGTCAAGGTGGCCTGGGTCGGCGGCGATAACGTGACGGAGGCGGTCAAACGTGGCGCGTTCGGGCGAGTCATGCATCTCGACCAGCCCGGTGTTGAGTTTGATCCGCGGGCTGAAGGTGCCGGCGACGAGGAAGCGCTGTTGGCTGCCAATGCGTACACCGGGTACGCGGGCATCGTGAGGGCGCTGGAGGCCGGAGCGGACATCGTCGTGTGCGGCCGGTGTACGGATGCGAGTCCGGTGATGGGACTCGCGAGGTGGTGGCACGGGTGGAAGGGGACGGCGTACGACGCGCTCGCGGCGAGCCTCATGGCCGGACACCTGATTGAGTGTGGCCCGTATGTGACGGGCGGCAACTACTGCGGTCAGCGTGAGGTTCCGAACCTCCACCACGCCGGTTTCCCGATTGCGGAGATCGCGGCGGACGGCGGGGTGGTCATCACGAAGCCGGAGGGGTCTAACGGGCTTGTGTCCGTTGATACATGCAAAGCGCAGCTGTTGTATGAGATCCAGGGGCCATTCTACCTGAACCCGGATGTCATCGCCGACATTGAGGGTGCGAAATTCAGTCAAATATCAAAGGGGCGCATTCAGCTGTCTGGAATCAAGGGACTGCCACCACCCCCTACAGCCAAGCTGGCCATCTGTCTGCTGGGAGGATACCAGGCGGAGATCTCTGCCTACGCGGCTGGTATGGACACCGATTTCAAGTTTGAAGTGTTGAAGAGTCAAGTTATGGGACAGATCAACCAGGCAGACTTTACGACTTTCAGCATCGAGAAGTACGGCTCGGCAGCAACAGATCCACGGTCGCAAAAAGCAGCCACCGTGCAATTTTGGATGTTCGCCCAGTCTCATAAAAAGGAGGCCTTTGAGCAGTTCAAACGCGCTGTATTCTACAACGGCCTACAGGGCTACTGTGGGCTGCATCTGGGGATGGACTGGCGGACGATGGAGCCCCGGCCGTTTGTGCGGTACTTCCCCGCGTTGATACCACAGTCCAAGATCCCCTTGTCCGTCAAGTTTGTCAAGGGCCCGGAGAACATCACGGTTGAAGCAAGGCAGGAGACAGAGTGCGGGTCAATACCTCGTCAACATGATTACGATCCTCCAACACCATTGGCAAAGGTCTTCTCATCACAGACGTCCAAAAGGCCGCTGGGAGATTTGGTCTTCGCCCGTAGCGGGGACAAGGGCGGCAACGCGAACATTGGGTTCTGGGTACGGCACAAGTCGGCCTGGCCATGGCTTCAGGCCTTTTTGACAAAACGGAAGTTCATCGAGCTTCTTGGCGATGACTGGCAGGGCAAATACGTGGTGGAAAGGTGTGAGTTTCCAGGGCTCTGGGCGGTGCATTTTGTAGTCAAGGGGATACTGCAGGACGGTGTTAGTAGCAGCAGTGTTTTAGACGGCTTTGCAAAGAGTGTAGGCGAGTTCCTCAGGGCGAGAGTGGTTGATTTACCGCTGGATCTGGTCAATCTTGAAGACTGGCGGCGGAGATCAGCAGAGAACATGGCTGAGCAGGCCAGATTATGATGCCTTATCTGCCGAGGTGTATTCAATGTTCAATACAACCCCAGATGATTCCGAAGACCATGATATGATTCAATGCTACACTTCCGATGATGACCGAACATTGTTTACTCTTCGTCACGTCTTGGACCGAGGACAAACAAGCAGCTCAGCTGCGGGGAACCTCGGCCGACAAACCCGGGGAATACAGGCAAGCCGGCCACTGAAGCGCACTGCCGACAGGGAATCATCTGCAGCCGACCGTCATATTTAGCGGCCTGCTGCCCCTGTAGCCGTATCCCGCCGATATCATCCGCGTTTTCATTTGCACCTCGTCATAATACATCCCGAACTTACACGCACCCGAGCCAGATATAACCCGTGAGAGATGGCCTCTAGTAATGTGCCCGTCAAGAATGCTTCAGGCCGTTATGACAACGTAGACTTTCGGAAAGCAGCAGGTTATCAACATCCACCCATCAAGTGCAGCTACAACCGCCGCGATGTTCTCCTCTTTGTGAGTTGCAACACATCAAATCTTAGACGCCCGAGGTGGCTGTAAAATCACTAACACGCGCCCTAGGCCAACGCGATTGGTGTCAAGAAAGACGAGCTTCACTTCCTCTATGAGCTCCACCCTCACTTCGCCGCCTTTCCCACTTTTCCCATCAACCTCGCCTTCAAGCAGACAGACCAGGATGTTTTCGACTTCATCGCGCGGACAACGTCGGGCCAGGTTCCAGGCGTTCCGCCTTTCGACGCTCAGCGTTCTGTAGATGGTGAGAGGGGCATCGAGATCATCCGTCCAATTCCGGTGTCCTCGGCAGGCTTGGACTTCGAGGTTCGGAATAAGGTGATTGGAGTGTATGACAAGGGTGAGTGAAGATGGCAAGACATAGGATAGGGCCAGCGATGCTAAATCAGATGTGCAGGTGGCGCCATGATTTTGGAAGCAGAGCAGCTGCTTGTCGACAAAAACACAGAAATCGTTTACACTAAAATGACCTCCACTGCATTCGGCATCGGACAGGGAGGCTACGGCGGGCCCCGTGGACCGGCAAAACAGGCCGTTACGCTGCCAGACCGCCGGCCTGACGCCGTGCACACGATCAAGACAACCCCGGAAGCCGCCCTCCTCTACCGCCTCTGCGGCGATTACAACCCGATGCACGCCGACGAGGCGTTCGGTCAGCGCGCTGGGTTCAAGGGCTCCATCCTCCACGGCCTCGGCACGTGGAACATGGCCGCCCACGGTCTGCTGCAGAAGCTAGGCGACAGTGATCCCAACCGCTTCAAGGCTTATGGCGCAAGGTTCAAGAGCGTTGTTTATCCCGGGGACACGCTGGAGACTCGCATGTGGGTGGTCAAGACCGAAGGAGGGATGGACGATGTCGTATTTGAGACGATCGTTAAGGAGGACGGCAGAGTTGCGCTGTAAGTGTTGCCATTTCGCCCGGCCGAGTTATATCGGCGGCATGATAAGACTGAGTGGCTGACAACTATTCCAGATCGAACGGATATGCCAAGATTGCAAATGCGAAAGTGAAGCTGTGATGCCTCTGCCGAGAGTCCGGAAATCCGGATGGACTGGGATGTGTTGGCAGACAGCACAGCATAGACAAATTGTAATCAACATCTGATACAGAGTTCGCGCCAAGTCTCATCTTCGTCCAAACGTGGACTAAATCGCGAAGTTTGATCTGCCCGTGTCACACGACAAATGCCATCGTGAGAAGAATCTCCCGAGTCAGAATGTGAGCAAGGACTCCTTTTGCTTGAGTCGATGAACTGTGATAAGGCCAACGGCTCATACACACCGTGGGCTCCATAAGCCGTTAAGCACAGCCCCATAAACGCGACCGTTTTGTTTCTGATAGTGGTTTGGTGGCATGCGCCAAGGTCAAATGGATCCATGAGACTTGGGGCAAAAATGCGAAAAAGAACATGCACCTGGGGGTGAATCTCACTGGCAAAACATTGCGCCGAGGGGGAATCGAACCCCCGGCTCCCCGACGCTGCTGGATGGCAACGGAGAATTTTACCACTAAACCATCGGCGCTGTTTATTGGATGTTGAACTCCAACAGTTGTCTCAATATGAAGTCTAGGCTTGTGGTCTATCCAGTGAAACCACCCAAAGTCGCGCACTCACAGGTGCGATGGATACCATTTTGGATCTCTCTTTTCGCGATAGGCCGCAAGCCCTTCCGACGCGTTCTTACTTCTGAGCATCGCCTCCGCCCAAAGTTCCTGGCCGCGCATGGTTGCTCTACTAACGCCAGTCTCCCAAGCTTCCCTGGCTGCCAACCTCGAGATGATGACGCTGTCGGGACTCAATGCCGCAATCTCGTCGGCGTAGTCCAATGTTCTCTCAAGCAGCTTTTCTTGCGGCACGATCTCTTTAACCAGTCCCCATTCCCGAGCTTCTTCCACCGACATTGTGCGGCCCGTGAGGATCAGGTCCATCGTGCGATGGTTGCCAAACAGCATCATGCATCGGGGCAAGGCGCCTGCGAGAGCTGATACGCCGCGGAGGACTTCAGGGAGTCGAAATGTTGCGTTTGGCGAGGCGAAGATGACATCCGCGTTGAGTATCGCTTCGAAGCCGCCGCCTGTTGAAGTCTCGAGTCAGTTGCTGCACACCTTGAGATAGGTGCTCTGCGAACATACCGTGAGCATGCCCATTGCACGCGACAATGATGGGTTTTCGCCCAGTCCGATTGCTCATGCCGGCAAATTGCCCTTGCGGATATTCAAACGCTACATCGTTCGTCTTGATAATGTCGAGTCTTTGCTTCAGGTCCATTCCCGCGCAAAAGGCTTCATCCCCGGCGCCGGTAAACACGGCGCATCGCAGCTCCGGCTCAGCATCGTACCATTTCCATAGTGCGCCGAGCTCGATCGTTGCCTCCACGGGCAGGCAGTTCATATGACCCGGCCGATTGATCGTGACTAGAAGGATATGTTTTCGGGGGAATGATATCAAGCTGTGTTCGACATGAGGATATGGGTTTTCAATCCACGAAGGAACGGGATTCTTCGTTCTCGGCGTCGACATTGTCGTTGTTCGGGGTCTTTGGCTTTGCTAGTCGTCTTCAGATTTGGTGTTTGCTCTCGCTTCATCAGCGCCAGCTTTCCTGAACAATACCGACACAGCTGGTGCACTTGAGATGCTCAATCAGCTCGGCCAAGATCCAATCTACCTCCCAATCATCCAACCGATAGCCGGGACCGTGGCCAGAAGCCATTCCGAGGCGCGCGTCACAACACAACCGAGCACCCCAGGTCCAGCTGCGCAACCGCGGAGACGGACGAGCACTTCCGCAAAGCCAACACAGCCCCCAACTCTCTCTAACAGCCGTTCCCCTCGCAGGCATCCCACGCCAGAGAGTGAATCATTAGCGCCCGTGCAGGAGGGATCATCCCCCACGTCGCGCATCACTGCGGGGGAACCCACGCTTCCCGTCCTCCCTCCGTTCCCCGCTGTAAAGGCGCCGGAAACGTGTTTCCCGTCCGTTGCGATTGGGTAGCGGGCTATATGCACCAGCGAGTCATTGCCCCCTCTACCGCAGCGTGAACATGGAGCAACCGCCGTCTTGGACTTTCCCAGTGTTCTTAGCATCGGGGATGTGTGCCATGCGAGCCTTACACCGAGCCGCCGAGGCTGGCTGCGGGAGGCTGTCGAGTGGGGGAACTGTCCGAGAGCTTCGACATTCTTTCTAGAGTCTTGAAGGGCCGGGATCATCTTGCTTGGTTTAGACTTCCTGGTGGACGGTGGCATGTGGCAGCCGCTGCCATTCATCACCGTCTGTGCCATTGACTCTAGCCCCCGCGACAGCTTCTCTGTCTTGCGACGATAGACTCGACATCATCTACCATACTCGCCAGCGACGCCCGGTTTGATACCAGTCACTATGGCAGAATCACCAACAGAAACGCCGCCGCCGGCGACTCCAACTTTCCTCAGGCTATCTTACCCTGCGCCTCGGGTCCTCCTCGTCCGCATGGACAGACCCAAAGACCTCAACGCCATGTCCACAGCCGCGCAGTGGGAGATGGACTCGGTATGGAAGTGGTTCGACCAAGAGCCGAAACTCAGCGTCGCCATTATCACAGGCACGGGAAGAGCGTTCTCCGCAGGGGCAGATCTCAAAGAGTGGAACAACAGCATGGCTGACGACGCCGACCCAAGCAAACGGATGGGAAACGCGCCTGCATTCAAGCCCTTATCTCGAAGGCTGGGCAAGAAGCCAGTCATAGCAGCGGTCAATGGTCTCGCGATGGGCGGTGGATGCGAATTCGTCGTCAACTGCGACCTCGTCGTCGCCGCAGACGACGCCTACTTCGGCCTACCAGAAGTCAAGCGCGGCATCGCGGCAATAGGTGGCGCCCTGCCACGACTCATCCGCACGATCGGTCTCCAGCGAGCGAGCGAGTTCGCCCTGACGGGGCGCAATGTATCAGCGCAAGAGATGGAACAATGGGGAATTGTGAACAAGGTGGTGCCCAAGGACAAGGTCGTTGAGGAAGCGGTACGTTATGCGCAGATGATCGCCGTCAACTCCCCGGACGCCATCATCTGTACCAGAGCTGGGCTGAGACAAGGCTGGGAGACGGCGGCAGTCGAGAGAGCAGTCGAATGGACACTCGAGAAGGAATTCGCGGAACTGCAAAAGGGGGAGAACATCCTCGAGGGCCTCAAGGCATTCTCTGAGAAACGGGAACCCCGGTGGAAGGGCAGCAAGCTGTGACGAGCCTCATGCGAATGGGTTTGTTTGAGAGGGGGAAATAAGATCCCGTGTTGAAAAAGCCACCTGCGCTACTTTTGGCGATAAGAGATCGTCTTCAGGACCCGGCTTGCCAGGTCCCGGGAAGTTGGGTTGGCAGACGCACGTCGATGTCACTAGATGCAGGCAGAGACCAGGTGATGGGATCTTGATGTCCATAGTCCGTCACGAGCTAAACAGCCTGTTCTGCAACCAAGGCCAGTTTCAACTACCGTAGAACGCCTCAATCGCACAAAGGAGCATCCCACATCGCCATTTTTGAGTCAGCCTAAGCTAATGAATCAGCGCCCGTCACATCCAGAATGCGACACCCGGACATTGGGCCAACACGTAGGGCGCTCGGCTCGCGCGATGGTCTTCCCCGCAGAACGGCGCAGGGAGAGGCCCCCGCCCCGCGAGCAGGACTCCATGAAGGAGTTTCGAAGAGGTTCGAGTTTTCCGGGGGACACCTGGCGTGCGTATGCCGTGTGAGCGTGTAAGACGGTGAAGCCCGGACGGCGGCAGAAAAGATCGAGTGAAGGGAGTGGCAGCCACAGACGGGACGGGGCAAACCAAGACTTGCGTGTCTGGTGGTGTCTTGCTTTCTTGAGGGGTTCATCTCACCCTTATTCCGTCAATCAATCCTCGACGCTTGCCACATATCCAGCACCGGTGGTTTTCGTCAATGGAAGGAAACACAAGGGCTGTATAAGACTTCGAGCACGGCCTCGAGGCGCATACTCCATCTACATCATCTAGCACATGTTCGGCGTTCGTTCTCAAGTCCATCGAAATCCGTTCCTGCAACTGCGAGCTGGCTCCCGCATAACGACATCCCGATATCCCATCATGGATATCTCCAAGAACGAGTCCGTTCGCGAGTTCGAACGGATGGACACCTTGGAGAAGTACATCGAGAATGACAGAGACGATTCCGATTCGATTCGATCCGAAGCTCTCGGAGATGATCTGCCTCCCGGTTACTTCTGGTCCCCTCGGTTCCTGGGTGCAATGGCGGTTGGTCAAACGTGCTGTTGGAAGAGGGGCTCAGCGGTCGCTGACATCACAATAGGGTTTCTGTCTCTCTGCACTATCGGCATACATCTTCCTGATCCTGCCGACCAACGTCTTGACATTTATCAACGCCGATATTGGTGAGAACATCATCTTGTTGTTCATTTTGCTACGTTATACTTATCGATTCAGGCCCGAGTCCATATATCTCTTGGGTCAACATTGCCCGAACGCTCTCCCTCTCCTTTACTTACACCATTCTTGGCCGCCTGTCCGATCTCTTCGGTCGACGATGGTTCTTTATCGGCGGCAATTGCGTCGCTATTGTAGGCATCATTGTTTGCGCCGTCGCGCAAAATGTCAACACCCTCATCGTCGGCGCAGCGATCTACGGGTTGGGAGAGACGGTGCAGCTGAGCTTTAACGTTGCGGTTGGCGAACTGGTTCCCAACAAGTACCGACCCATGGTTCTTTCCTGCATTTTCGCAACGAATGCGCCCATCGCCACCTTTGGCCCCATCATCGGTAAGTCTGGCATTTGAACGACTGCAACATCATGTCTAATTCAACGGCAGCTCGCAAGTTCGTCGAAAACCCCAAGCTGAGTTGGAGATGGTGTTTCTACATCAACATCATCGCCGTTGGCCTTGCCATCGTCCTCTTGTATCTGTTTTACCACCCGCCAACATTTGAACTCCTTCACGACCGAAAGACCAAGGGACAGCTGCTCAAAGAGCTTGATTGTAAGTCCATCACGTTGCACTCTGTCTGACCCGCCGCTCACCCCTGACGAAGATCTCGGAATTTTCTTGTGGACCGCCGGCTTGACCCTACTCTTGATGGGTGTCTCTTGGGGTGGAGTCATGTTCCCCTGGGACTCCGCAGCAACCATCTCGAGCTTGGTTATTGGTGTCGGCCTGCTTGTTGCGCTCTTCTGCTGGGAAGCATTCGCGAACCTCACATATCCTGCCATTCCCGTCAAGTTCTTTGCCAACCGTGGCTTCATGGCTCTCGTCTGCTGCGCAACGGTTGCCAGCATGTTCTACTACTCGGCCGTCCTCCTCTGGCCTCAGCAGGTTCAGGCCTTGTACACGACGGATATCAACTATGGTGGCTGGCTCTCTTCTACAGTAGCGAGCTCGACTGCACTTGGCCAGGTATGTGCCGGTGCAATCGTCAAGTGGGGAGGAAACGTCCGATACTGGATCATCTTCTCGACCTTCGCCATGGTTGGCTTCGTCGGCGCTCTCGCCTCTTTGACTCCTGAGACATTGAATACAGGTATCGCTCTCACGATTTTGGGCCCTTTCTTCGTCGGTTTCATCGAACTCGCGTCACTCGCTTTGGCGCCCCTTTTCTGCAAGCCCGCAGACATCGGTCTGGCCTCGGGTCTGCTGGCATCCATCCGTTCCGCGGGAGGTTCTATCGCCGTTGCTGTTTACACCTCGATCTTGTCCAACCGCCTCGCCACCACCATCCCCGCGGCAATCACCCAGCCAGCTACTGCTGCAGGATTCCCCGCCAGCCAGATTCCCGCGCTTGCAAAGGCAATTCAAGGCAACAAGTTGAAGACCTTCCCAGGCTTGAGCACGGCTGTCAAGGAAGCCGTCTCAAAGGTCCTGCCTACTGCCTACTCCAACGCATTTGAGACCGTCTATCTCGCTAGTTTGGGTTTCGGAGCCATCGCCATTGTCGGCTGCTTGTTCTCGATGGATGCCCAGAAGCACCTGACCAACAAGGTCGAGCGTCGCATGAGGTGATAGGAAGAGTAGTTGGGCTTCACGGGAAGCCAAGAGGAGGGGGTTATTGCAGCGAATCGACGATCGCTGAAGGTGTGTGGGAACAAGTGTCGCTTTGATAGCAGACTTTGGAGTGTTTCGATCATATCATAGCAAGCAGCCAGCGAGTTGTTTAGTCCCTGTTTGTTCTCTGGAGCACATCAATCAAACTGGCCCAAATGCCACTTCAGAAGCCCACGAGACTGAGAGGTTTCTCAGTTTTCACAAACAAAAATCGTGGCGTAAACAGTGACATCCTCCCTACTGTGCGAGTGGCTGACCCCGCAGCAAACCCTGGCCCGGATGTCTTGTTTCTCTAGGGTACCCCAACACGACTTGCGCATCGTTTCTACCTCGCTCGGGAAGACGCATCCTCTTCCTTTGTCAATTAGACCTCTTATCACCAATTTCGAAAACACATTATGCCTCGACGGCCATCTATGTCGGCCTCCGTTCAGTCGGCCACGTCTCCCTCCTCGGTGGGCTCGTCGACGGTCCAGGAAAGTTCTGGGATGACACAGCAGGATATCGAACTGCAGAAGAAGCGGGCCAGAGACAGGAAATCGCAGCAAGCCATGCGTGATCGCAACAAGTGGACGATACAGAAATTAAACGACCAAATCGCCTACTTGAATTCTGCAATGGAAGAGAGGAGCCAAGATGTCGCCATGCTTCAAACACGAATTGGGGTTCTCGAGAGCGAGAACGCACAGCTTAGAGCACAGAATGCTGCACTGCAGCTGAGTCTTATGGGACGAAATGATAACTCTGGACCCGGCGATGACTCCTTCGTCTTTGAAAGACGGCTTTCTGATAGTCCATGGGAGCTACCTTCCCGGAATACTGCGCCGGGTTGCATTGCGGACCAAGTTTTGCAGGGCTTCGTGGATTCTGTTCGATCTGACGGCATTCTCACATCGACATCCTCCTATACCCCCAAACCCAAGGTTTCCGCACTGGTGCAACAACAAGGAAGATCGGAAGATGATATCAGCAACGTTGTCGCGGACGTCGTACGGACGTATCCCGAGATAGAGACCCTCCCTAAACAGGTAGCTGTATTTCAGAATATGGCACTGCTATTAAAGGTATGCGGAATCTATGTCTAATGATTCGTTGTGAGTACAAGCTGATTCACTGCCTCAGTGGATGGTCCTCCTCGACAAGCAAAGTTGGGATCTGATGCCGTCTTGGTTGAGGCCAGTACCTGCACAGCTCACCACACCCCATGCCGCCTGGATTGATAGAATTCCTTGGTAAGTGAACTCTGTAACAGCGGTGTCGTTTGACCCAATATTGATGCTAATAATACCAGGCCTCGGGTTCGGGAGTATCTCATCGCGAATCCCGACATCACCCTCGACGACTGGGCAGCCACCTACAGCTCGAGCTTTGATGTAAGCTGGACCTACGAGCCTTCATTGGTTCTTATCACTGTGGCTACGGATGGCCCCGGGATGTCTGAAATAACTATCAACCCGGTCTACGAAGAACATCTACGGCAGCTGAAGAACTGGACGGTGGCCAACCTGTTTCGCCAACGATTTCCCGTTATAGCAGACCTCATAGATCGGGACACCCTGGAAAGCGGAGTCTGTGGTGAATTCAATACTTCATGATATTGCTAGACTGTTTGGTGCCATGTCAGCCTCATGACGAATTGAAAATTCGATCCGAGTGAAGACAAGTCAGTCGCCTATTCTCCCCCACTGAATCATCAAATTCTTCTTAGGAGATGCCCGTTTACCGACCCCACTTGGCAAAATCTGGGGTGCAGCGAAGCAGCACAGGTGGGTTCGCGGAGTTCGATAACCGGGCTGCTGGATATCGGAGTTGCAGATTGCGGGGAAACGTGCCCGAGAAGTGCGCCAGCACCTTTTATGCTTCTTGGTTTGATGGGGTCCCCAAACAGGCGACTCATTTTCACTTGAAGCGTGGAGTCACGAAAGCACAGCTGGCTATTAAGATTCGGGCGAAAGTTGACAAAGCCCGTCATGTTGAGTCGCCAGCCGCAGACATTGATGACTTCGATAAGCCAGCTAGCTCGTAGGTGCGCATCCCACTGTGTTATACGCATCATCATCCGGGTAATGGGAGACTTTGTGCAAAGATTCTGTGTCATAAAAGACGTTTGGCGTTTCTTTCAGTAGCTAAAGGCTTTTGTACATACACCTTATTCAAGGGGTGGTGGCCTCTTCGAGGAGGAGGTGGTACATGAGCTCCCTCGGTGTACAATCCTTCTCCCAAGGATTGTCCCAAGGCATCGGGTCTGTAACTCCCAGCGCTGAAAACATCTCTCTCACGTCACACAGGGTCTGCCCCATGTCACACCCAACTTCGCCTCCTTCCCAAGACTCACTGTTTACTAAACGACAACTGTTTTCGTGATCCCCATCGCATTCCCATTCAGTGAAGCTTATAGTTCTGAGGTCAGGAAACTTGCCACCCTCAACTTCTTTAGCAAACCAGACGAATTCTTCTTTGTAGCCATCGATGTAGCCACTGATTTTCAAGTGTTTCAGCGACGGTTGAAGTTCTCGCAGCAAACAATCGCTGCCAAAGCCCAATTCATCTGCAGTTATCTTCAGTGATTCTAGACTGGGGAGTTTAGTGAAGGAACGAAGGCGCATTGCCGTGTCTCCCCACCCGCCTATATCTAGCTTGAGAACTTTGAGACTCTCGCCGTGAAATGTTAAAGCCGGAAGAATATCTTCCAAGTCATCGTAATCAGTAAGCGCCCACAAGTCAAATTCTTCCAAACGCCCACAAGATTTGATCCACCTGGGAGTATCTTCGACAGGTATGACGCCTCTTCTTGCCAATTTGAGCTTTACGATGCGGCTCCAACCCATGCCCTCAAACTTCCCACAAGTGTTGATTCCATAAAAGCTTTTGATGAAAGGAGCGAGTTTCATGAGAGGGAAGATTTGATCGAGTAGAACAGGCCATGTGCCAGTCTGACTGGCAACGAAACGTAAGTCCGTCAAATTTCGCAAGCGTGTGGAAGTCTCCTTCGGAAATGGCAAGGATTTGAAGAAATGTTCCGACTTTTTGTCCGCCGTGATAGATAGTTGTCGAATATTCCGCGCCTGGAGGATTGCGATACCCGCCAGTATGGATAAGTTCTCTGTTAACGTATGCCAGTTTTCTGGCAAATCGAGGTTCAAGCTTTTGACGATGATCTGAAGTTCGGCAACATCTTCGCTTTTGATTTTCTCCTTCTTTCGGTTGATTCGCTCCCAGTCGATATTAAGGTCAAGCACATATGCGGCGATTTCAGTGTGCAAGTGCCAGTATTTCACAAGCGCTGGGAGACTTGAAGGCTGTGATCCTTTCAAAGACACATGACTCCAGATCCTAGGCTCGCACAGGACGCGGAATGTACGGCACACGCACGAGACTGGCCTCAAACTACCTCGTCTTCTGGGAATTAGCCGATGGCATCTAAGTGCATCGTGGATGATGACGATGGCACGAACACTTCAGATATAATTTGGTCTAAAATCTCGCAGGGGAGCTCTAAGACGTGGAGTCCTGCCATGGGAAATGCGAAACAGCGCTGGCGCTGCAGATTAATTGGTCATGGGTGGGCGGGCGAGTGTGGGGAGGGCATTCTTGACCTGGATGGCATCGTCGAGGTAAGAAGAATTGGCAAAATTTCTCAAGCCCACCGCGTTGGTAGGAGTTCGCCTTACCCTCCGTTGCGTTGACAGCGTCCGCCCCCAAGTTTGACCCGGAAGGGAAATTTTCCGCCAGCCTAGAAACCCCTTAAAACCGCCTAAACTTCACACTTTAATACCTCTATGCGTATACAGTGCACGTAAGTAAAAAATATATCAATCGATAGCCCTTAATTAGGTGATTATAATGATATCTTTTTCATTTACGCGCATTACGTACGCATAGAGGTATTAGTGTGCGAAGTTTAGGGCGATTTAGTGGTTTTTTAGCAAAATGCCCCTTTTTTTGCCTTTTTTCGGGCCACAAAGTCGGGGGCGGACGCTGTCAACGCAACGGAGTGTAACATGTTTAGTCAGCAACTCAACAGAACGTGACATGTCTCGTGAGGTCTTTTGATTGGGCAGCATCGTGTCATCGGCTTCTAACTACCACGCCATGTAACATGGATGGATTACTTGCCTTCGGCGGTAACCTGCAAGAATGGAAGTCAAAAGAAGGAGGAAAAGGATTGAAGTTTGATTGAGCGTAATCGTGTGATACACTCTGAAGAACATGTCCACTAATCATCTCTGTCAGGAATCGGGAGACGAGCGGCTGCAACTAAGCGCCGTGCATACGTACAAGGGTATGGGGGGCGATTTGTGGTGGACCTGATAAACTGTCGCTCCATCATGCGCATCAAACCAAGATTTTAGGTGCCGATAGACGAAAACACGATGTTCTTCGCAAGTGCTCAGTGGGAAAGAATAGTGAATGACATCCGGCTTCATTGGAAACGTAGATGCGGAACTCCGCATCCGTGGGCATCCTTTCATCGGAGCGGGGAACAGGTCGAAACCTACCGGCACACGGAAACATATTACCGGCTTCTGTAGTCGCGGACGAGCCTTTGAGTAAGATCAACTTATACAAAACAGAACCTGAAGGTGATTCAATTGCCAACTTCATGCAGGTCGCTATCATTCTACAATCTCTCATCATGACTTTCGCACAGCAATTCTCCGACAAAGTTGTCGCCATCACTGGTGGTGCCTCTGGCATAGGTCTCGCAACAGCCCATCTCCTTGCTGAGCGAGGAGCCAAACTGTCTCTCGCTGACGTCCAGGAAAAGGCTCTTCAACAAGCTCAGTCCGATATAAAGTCCAAGTACCCCGAAAGTGATGTCCTCATTTTTACTGTGGACGTCAGGAACTACGAGCAGGTTGACAAGTGGATCACAGAGACTGTGAAGCATTTTGGAAAGCTTGACGGAGCGGCAAACCTGGCCGGAATCATCCCCAACTCAATTGGTCTCAAAGGAATCGACGAGCAAGACTTTGACGAATGGGACCTCATTCTCAGTGTCAACTTGACTGGGGTCATGCATTGTCTCAAGGCTCAGCTGCGTGTCATTGAGAACACAGGAGCAATCGTCAATGCAAGCAGTATTGCTGGCCTTATTGGACGGAACAAAAACGCATCATACGTAGCCAGTAAGCATGGCGTCATGGGCTTGACGAGGAGTGCTGCAAAAGAAGTTGGGCCGAAGGGCATTAGAGTCAACGGCATCTGCCCGTGAGTCTTACCAACTTCTGTCAAAAATGAAGGTAACTAATAAAGCCAGGGGGAAAATCGATACACCAATGTCGCAGGCCTCTAGGGACATGAAGATTGTCGTCGAGCCATCTTTGAAGCGGGTCGGTCAGCCGAGGGAGGCGGCAACTGTGATCGCTTTCTTGCTCAGTGACGAGGCAAGTTACATCTCGGGTGCTGCTATCGGTGTTGATGGTGGATGGAACTGCTGAATGTGTTTATGCCGCCATAAACTCATACCTACCTCACGTAACTTCATCTGAAAGTAGTGTACGAAAGCTTTCGTTTGTATCCCATCGAGTGCTGCATGACGCCAGTACATCCAGTACCCGTAATTTCTCCAATTCTTGTCTCAGTGAATTTTGTAATTCGTAGAAAAAAAGTGTCGATCAGCTGAAATCGTATCTGATTCGCTGTACCCCGCAAAACTTTGTACTGGCGTCATGCAGCACTCGATGGGATAAGCTTCACTTGGAAATTGGGCGCACAGATTTATCTCATACGAACTGACGACACGCTTCTTTCGAAAGTTCTTGTGTCTTTGAGAAAGACTGAAATTAAAATCCACGCGTGCTTGAATTCATTCACAACATGGCTCTAGTCTGGTGTATCCTCTTCGCGATAGCTGCGAGCTCGCTCCTGACTAACTTGCCTGAGTTATTCTTCGGAAGTGACTCTAGACAATGCAGTCCTCCTCTCAACCTTTTGTAAGGGGCCACACGCTCCTCCAAATATATTCTTATCTCATCCAACGTTTTTGAATAGTCCACCTTTGCTGTCGAAGATGGCAAGCAGACAAACCCAATTGGAACCTCTTCGCCATCACCGTCCCATGCTATTCCACATACCCCCGCATCCATGACCAATGGGTGAGAAAGTAGTATAGCTTCCAACTCCGCCGGTGCAATCTGGTTCCCTTTATATTTGATCAGTTCTTTCTTCCTTCCAGTCAACCAAAAGTACCCATCTTCATCAACTTTGACAACATCTCCAGTACATAGCCATCCGTCTCTAAAGGCCGAGGCAGTTTCTGTCGGGTTGTTCTTATACTCCATAAAGACTGTCGGCCCTTTGACCAGACACTCGCCTTCGATGCCTATTGGTACGTCATTGAAGTGGTCATCTACCACGCGAACGGTTACTCCAGCGGCAGGCTTGCCAACACTAGATCCCTTTTGTCCGTTTCTTGTATGTCTGAGAAGGGTGATCGTGGCCTCGCTCATTCCATAGCCGTTGAGAACATTGGTTTCGGGTCCAAGAAGCCGCTTCAGCCCCTTCACCGTAGCATCGGATAGTGGGGCACCGGAGCACATGACGGTATGCACCGAGGACAGATCAAGGTCCCTTATGGCTGTGTCCTTCACCATTCGTACTGCTGCTGCCGGAACCAGTCTCAATACCGTCGCCTTCAGTTCGGAGCACCTTCGGAGGTACGGCAGGTACTCGAATTTCCTCATTGGCTGGACATGATTTCCTACCCAAGCCGGCAATAAAACTCCAGACACAATGCCGTATATGTGCGCGAAGGACGGAAAGAAAGCTTCTCTCATGTAGGCATTGTGCGTGAAAGGATTCGTGACCCGGAGTGTGAGGAGATACGCGATAAGGTTATGGTGAGAGAAGACAACACCCTTTGGCTTGCCCGACGTCCCAGAACTGAAGCACATCCCTGCAGGGATCTTCCGATTGTCTCGCCTGGAAAGATCGAAAGGCTGTATGGGGCTTTCTTTTGAAGACCTGAAGTCCAAGGGAAACTGTTACCGTAAGTAATCTTGCCAGATATCTTGTCGTGGCAGGGCACTTCATACCCTAGGGTAGTCATCTTGCTTTCGAGCATTGCTCTCATTACCAACAACGAGCAGTCTTGGAGTTGTGCTCAACTTCAGTTGCTTCAAGGCTTCTAGGGCCTTGGGCAACAGCTCGTCGTCGACTGCGATTATGCTCGGTTGAGCCACAGTAAAGTAGTGAGTCAGCTCATGTGCAGTTGCCATGGAGTTGATGCCACTGAAAATTCATCAGAGCTGAAGTTCGAATTGAAATTACGACATACACTCACCAGAAACATCCACCAGCCCACAAGATTGCGTGAGCCAGAGCTACCCACGAAATAGAGTTCGGGGCGAAGATGCAGACCACATCTCCTTCTTGAAGCCCGAACCGTGATATGAAAGTGGAGGAATCTCGTGCTGCATTAAACCGAAGCTCTTGAAGCGTCAGAGTCTGCTGTTGGTCGTCGAAATCGCTCAAGATTTTCTGGTCTGGGGGCACGTCATCTGGGTTGCTGCTGAGGAGGAACTGCGAAACTGAAACGTCCAATGGAACAGAAGGTGCTGGGTAAGGTGAGTGGTACATTGCGGTCCAGATACAACTTCGAGGGCTATGGTCTACGTAAAAGAACCAGAACTGCCCAAATCTCGAGGCAGTTTGTTTTATCAAGATGAGAGTTGACCTCAATCAGGTACTAGTAGGTATGCTCTGAACACTTTAATGAATCATTGGTGCGACAACATGCGCTATGAATACCATTTGCCGTGTCATCTGTGCAGCGCCTCAGCGAACACCGTCGCTGTAGCTTTAGCGGACACGGTGCAGCCACCTTGAAACCAACGGTTCTGGTTTTCCGGCCTTTGTCACTGGCATCCGATGCAAATTCAATGGAAAATTCCGGAGTGTATCCTGTCTATGCAAACACGTATCGATCATGGTTCCCCTTGCACAGTCACTGTGCGTACGTGTTTCTTCTCTCGATCGCATGCATTTCGCTTCGGTCCGGAGAACCGATTTCGATTTGGGCAGGGCCAAGATACATGGTAGAGAGATCCTTTCAAACCGAAATTCATAGTATCGAGAAGCGCTCGTATATAGTGTGTTGAAATCAGGTAAGAAGGGCTTCCTATTGAGCGTTTTGGCACGCATTGCCTTCCTTCATGGGATCATTGTAATCGAAGTTGTTCGCTTGGGAGACGATTAGTGAGCATCGAAATCGTGTGCAACTTTTGAGGTTCAAAAGGATGGGTAAAACGACTTCTCCAAGAGCACAACTTCTGCCCGAGAGCAGTCGCTGTTAATTTATCACAAGTTGGACAGAAAGACATGTTACGTATTTTGATTGGGGACTGATAGCGATTTTTTAAGTCTTGGCAATTCGCGGAACTCGTACCCATGTCAGAACACACGGCTGGAAGCAAAACACGACCTATCGTACCCAGAAACATTATGTCTAGTGGGACGCCGAGCTCCAAAAAGACCATCTAGCTGCAGCTAGTCTTGGTAATAGCTTTCGTCGCAACATTCACCGTTTCCCAAGCGTCCCGATGTTGCATTCGGTTTCCAACGGACAGCACCTCTGCTTATCTGGGAAAAGCTTGGCTTTCTTGGCTTGGCTAGCAAAAGTCTTGTCTCCTTCCAAATTCATCTTAAGTCACGCATTATGGTCTCGCCGAACGCGGGGTAGTAGTCCAGCCATGCGTGAAAAACCAGCATGAAGGACAATTAGAAGCTTGGTGCCTGGATGATCGGGTGGCTTTTTCGGCCTGGTCCCGGGGTCCAGCATACGCCGGGACTCGCCAAGAAGTTTGTTTCCTGCCTTTCTGGGACCTGACGGGGACGTCGGAGGGTTGATAGATTTCAGTGATGTCACGTAGAAGCATGGCGGACAGATAAATACAATGGTCATGTCGCATTCATAGATCTCGCTGCGCAGTAGAACGCAGCCCTGACAACGTGCGACTCACTTGCGTTGATTCCTAAAGGAGCCAAGAAGTGCAATCGTCAAATCAGCACACCATGCGTCTGAACTCCATCACCAGTGCAGCGATCTTCACCGCTGTTGCTGTCCAGGCAAGGGAGCTCCCGAAGGATGAAGCTCGCGCTGCTGGTGTGTTCTCCTCCCGAGGAGCCATTCAAACCACTTGCTAATTGTTCCAGAGCTCTATGACTCGGGTGTGATTCACGAGAGACTCATGGCCAGGAAGATTGTATGTACACAATTCAGAAAGTATCTGTGATCGGGCCAAGTCTAATGATGATATCTAGTCCCATTGGGAAGCCGAAGAAGCCGTGGGTCTCATGAACTCATCTCAGTGGCCCAGACTTGGTTACACCAAGTGTGTTGATGGTTACGCTGAGGCCATCCCCGACAGCCCTCTGCACAAGTTCAAGTGCAAGAATGTAAGTTGGGAGTTGTGACAAGCTCGCAAACCATCGCTCATGGCTGCGTTCTCCCTAGATGGACCTCTACGACTTCATCAACCACGCGACGCTTGGGTCTCCGAACACCGACTACCGTGGTAAGAGCGGCAGCTCTTCATGGGGTTGGACCGACCCTGACTCTGGTCGCGAGTTTATTGGTAAACATTGAAAACACTGATACGATATCCCACGGACACTGACCGTGATTATTTAGTCAGCGGTATGTTCGATGGATGTGCCTTCATCGAGATCTTGCCAGAGGGAAAGATGCTGAACCTCGGTTTCCTGTGAGTTCAAGAATGATTACAATGACATCGCAGGATTCTACTGACTCAATGCAGTCCGACCTATTCTCCTGTGGGCGACAGAGCTTACTGGCATGAGATCCGGCCCTACAAGAACTACATGCTTATTGGCAGCGAGCTTGAGGGCCACGGCATCCAGATCTTTGACATGACAAAGGTGAGAGCGAAACAAGACCAAAAGGATTAACATTCGCCTAACTTGATAACTAGCTCCTCGACATCGATCCATCTGAAGCCCCTGTCCTCTTTTCGAATGACAAGGATCTTACCGGTCACTTCATTGAGACGCTTCCCTTGGGACGTAGCCACAATGTTGTTGTCAACGAAGAGGCTAACTATGCCGTTGCTGTTGGCGTTCAACCGCGCAACGTGAGCTGCATGGGAGGTCTTTACTTCTTCAGCCTGGAAGACCCCAGCAACCCTGTTGCACTCGGATGCGATGGACAAGATGGCTACGTTCACGATGTAGGTCTTTGGAGCAGCGAACTGCGTAAGCGCTTTAGGTCATGACTGACATTTCTCGTTCAGGCTCAATGTCTTATCTACCGTGGCCCCGATTCCAAGTACTTCGGGCGGGATATTTGCTATGGATACAACGAAGACACTTTGACTATGTAAGTTGTCATGGAGAAGAATGATTCATGTCTCCACCAGTCCTAATTTGGCTCCTCCTAGCTACGATGTCTCCGACAAGAAGGACTCCAAGATCATCTCTCGCACATCTTATGAGGGCGCCACCTTCACTCACCAGGGCTGGGTCAATGACGTTAACTGGCAAGGTATGTACCAACTACTGAATCGCCTAGACTGAAACGGTACTGATGGTTCCAGAATGGCTCTTCATGGATGACGAGTACGACGAAGACGAGCTCGCTGGTCCGGCTGCGGATGGATACCCAGTCACGTACATCTGGGACATCTCGAGTCTCGAAAAGCCTCTTCAAAAAGGACTGTTCAAGCACAACGTCAAGGGAATCGATCACAACCAGTACGTTGTCGGTGACCTCCTTGTGCAATCAAACTATGGCGCAGGTGTTCGGGTCTGGGACATCTCCTCGGTCCCCGACGATCCCACCGGCAACAGCGTATGCGAGATCGCCTATTTCGACATCTACCCCGAGGATGATTCTTTACCCGGAGGTGGAGCTATTCAGTTCTCTGGAACATGGTCTTCGTACGCGTATTTCAAATCGGGCTTCATTTTCGTCAACACCATTGAGCGCGGTGCTTACCTTGTGAAAATGACAAAGAAGGAGGCATGCAAGCCCAAGACTTGCAACGCAGACAACTGCCTGCGCGCTCTCAGGGCATCTAGTATCCCTGGTCGGCTGGAGGAGTCTCAGGAATTGTGCGGCGAGTTCACAAAGACCGTCATCGCTGATGTGTCGGTGGTGCCTGCATACGCTGCTGAGGCTTGCCCGACGAATGTGATTTCGAGGGTTAGCTCAGCTTGCTCATGCCTGCCAACACCGACTGCTTGAACCCTGAAACTGGAGGTCACATCGAAATGAAGTAGAAAAATACTTTCGCAAATGGCGACCAGAAGTGCAGGAGGCCAAGTGTCTACACTTGGAGACCAATGATGTAGCAAGTCAAGGTTGACAGAGAAGATGAAAGTTCGCGTATTTGCAAGAACATTTGATTTTGTGGATATAATGTTTATACAAGAGTCAAAGTGTGTACATGTACCAAAGACAAACAAACAACGCCGATCTAAATGCTATTCCTTGACAACCCATTGCAATCAACCCCAGTGTCCAATTGCTTCCATCGCTTATGCATGTCCAAATTCCCAATCGATCAATTTTGCTCAACCATCAAGAGATGGAGCGCTTAGGAAGGGGGAGCAGTGCCGTTGGGGGGGCTGCCGCCGGCACCACCGCCGCCGGAGTTGGAGTTCTCGACACCGCCGGACTCGTAGCGGAAGGCGGCGGGGGTGACGGTCTGAGACAGGGTGGTGTTGATGCCGAAGGCCATCCAAGCAAAGAGGCCGTCAGTGACGCTATCGCCGAGGAGAGTGTACTCCATCATGGGGTCAACACCGTCGGTGGCGGTCTCCTCGGAAAGGATGGAGTCGTCGGCGTTGGTGGTGAGCTCCTGGGTGTTGGTGTTGTAGGGGGCGAAGGCCTCGACGGCGGAGATGAGGTCCTGGTCGAAGAAGGTCTGGCCGACGTGGGAAGCGGTGATCTCGTTGCCGAGGGTGCCGTTGGAGTAGAGGGTGGCGTTGTGGTGGACCATCAAGTGGATGTGGGTGGCACGGGAGGTGTAGTGGCCGGGGAAGATGGACTCGAACTGAGCAACACCATCCTCATCGGTGGGCTGGATGCCGCGGAGCCAGGTCTTGTCGATGTTGGTCTCGTCGGAGGAGTCGCCGTTACCGCTGGCGACGATGCCGGAGTAGACACCAGTGGAGTTGCAGTGCCACATCTCAAGGTAGACATTGGGGACAGGCTCGCAAGTGTCGACGTCGATGACCTGGTAGTCGAGGACAATGTCGACACCCTCCTGCTCCTCGATGATGTTGCGGCGGACAGACTCGCCAGAGACGTCTGGTAAAAGTGTTAGTATGGAGTGATGATTGTGGAACGCCCGAGTGAGTGTGCTTACAGTAAGGACCCTGGGTAACCTCAGGGGTAAGAACGCAGGAGTTGTTGCCGGAGAAGAGAGTGGCGGCGTCGGTCTCGAGGGTGTAGCCAAGAGCAGTCTGGTTGTGGGACTCGGCGAGGACGGTAGCGGCGTCGCGCTTCTTCAGGCTGCGCTTCTGGCGGGCCTTCTCGACCTGGGCGGAGCGACGGGCGACGTTGCGGGCAGTGACGCCGCGAGCCTTAAGCTTATCAGCGCAGTGAGCCAAGCTGGCGCGCTTGACGTTGCCGAGGAAAGCGCGGCGCTCGGCGATCTCTTCGGTGAGGTCGTGGCCGGGGTGGGCAATGGCGCCGGAGAGGAGGGCCAAGCCGGAGGCGACGGTGGAAAAGCGCATGTTGGCTGTTTGTGACTGGAGTGTTGATGAAAAGAAAGTTGCTTATTCGACTTGATGTGAACAAGAGGATGAGTTGGAAGTGAAAGCGAGAGGTAGATGGTTGTGGAGTGAAGGTGATGCTGATGAGGATCTTCTTTTTGGTTCTGGAGGGAATCGAGCTTGGGTTATTATACTCAATGAGATGACATCCAAATCAGAGCCATCCCCCACGAACCGCCTCAGTGCCATGATGGGAGTTCGTCGCATGAGTCCAACAGTGGAGCTCAACCCATCACAGCCATCACAATTAGCCTCCGCCATTGACTCGGGAGACGTGTACGGTGGCTCCGGAGGGCCTCGATTGCGTGGGCTTCCGCCGTGATGGTAGAGCTAGCGTCCAATGCTTCGCCCCTGTCCCGGGCCAGCAACGTCAACTTTCTTTACCCGGCGTAAGGTAGGGACCGTGGTACCGGGGAGACAGAGCCTCGGCCGGTGGAGCCCTTAGACGAAGACGACGACGACGTTGCCCCCTTTGCCAAATTGGCCCCCTTACTCTGTTTGGCGCAAAAGCCATCAACACCTAGATTCAACGTCTTGGCACGGGGCTAAGGGCGTCGTGGACGGCCGACTGGCGAATGGCGGGTTGTGCATAACAAATCCACCCCGGACACCGGCCTCCACATAGGCTAATTTTCTCTCGATCATATCCCGGCAGGGCGAGGAGCGGAGGGCTCCGCGAGCCAGACCAAGCATCCGGATGTGGCCCTACACGCAAGCCTTCCGTCAAGAGTGGAGTCGGGGCCGCCGTTTAAGCCTCCTTTTGAACGGGATGGCATCCCACATGCCGAAACAAAGCCCACTTGGATGGCTTTGGCTTGTTGGTGAGGACGCGTTCACAGACCCGAATTGGCCAATCACGCCCGGTTTGTTGTTTAACTGATGCTGTAAAAATAGACTACCGAGCGGGAAGGCCAGCACACGTTTGCTGCGCAGTGGCTTCGGGAAGTTTTCTAAACTCTCAGGGATGCAGATACCTGTGCCTCCTTACAACAACATCCCGTGAACCTGCGGGGTTTGGCTCTACCGCGACCAACCACAATCTTCATTAATGAATTGGTTTATCATGAGAGGTTGCTACGTTGTTTACTACACCGTAGCCGAGAATTGACATAGTAGGACTGAGCCGAGGCTTCTTACCTGTAGGGCATGCTTTAGGCGTCTATCGCCGACGGACGTAAAAAGTGGCTCAGCTCGGGATGCGGGGGTGCTGCTGCGCGTCCCTGGGCCTAGTGATATCACATCTATTGGATTGTGTGATTCGGAGTCGCCTTGCTCTTGGCTTCCGAGTTCATCAATTTGAGATATTGTACCTGGCTGAGAAAGAAGAAAATTCTTCGTTTAGAACTTGTCCAGTGATACGGGTGCATCCGTGATCGGTTGGTCTGAACTTCTACGATCTTGAGACGGTGACAGGATGAGATCGAAACGCATCAAAGATCTTGTTTCGTCCGATTGTCTGATGGCCATCAAGTGTTCAGGCTCTACAAGTTGCACATGACGATCAACTCTTGTATATCGGTCCCAACGAGATAGGTAGCCTTAAAGCTTGGTCACGACGATCCAAAGGCTGACATCGAAGTCCTTGGCTTCACCACGGAGCTGGCGACCAATTGAGTTCCAGTCGATGTCATCTCAGGAGCCACTACATGTTGCATTCTATCTTCCCAAAATACTTCTCATCGCAAGATTCACAAGGATTTCGTAGTATCCCGTCAAGCAGCGGCCGGGTTGTCATGTCGAGCATCAAGGCTTTTCTCCCTCCCAGCAAGCTCTCTCAAATTAAACCATCCTGAATCGTCAGCTCAACGTGAATTAGATAAGTGCCGATTGGACAGCCAGACTTGAGGTTAAGAAAGCAAGCATTCCGGGAGGCAGGCATTTTCGGGAGGTGGCATGGACGGTGGGCGCTGTTGGGACGGGCCACTCCACGATGCCCACATTTGAAGGGATTAGAAGTTGGGAACGCGCAATGGCACTCCCTCAATCTACGATGGTGTTACAGCAACTCCTCATTTCCCTCATCCCACCGGCGCCCAATCATGTGTGTTGTCAGAATCTCTACCGGTAACTGTAAAGATCTGCCTTGTACGCGTACTCCGTTGAGCTGTGAGCCTGTCGGCAACATACATTTCCGGCGAGGCTCTGAAGACCCGAACCCGAACCGGATCCTGGTCATCGACCACCCGTACCGTCTCTGAATCCAGGCAAGGCAAGGCTCTGTGACTTGAGCGTTTTTTTTTTTTTTTTAGTCTAAGAAAATGTCCATGTCTTCCGTCTCTGCAGCGAACATGTCTCAGCCAGAGTCGCGGCTCTCATTGACAACGTGAATCGGTAGTTGTCCGATAGGTCGCCAACAACGCCGCAGGTGACGTACTGATGAGAGGCGCTTGAAGAGCACCGCGGAAAACTGAGCGTAGCGGCTGCACAGCCTGCACAAATGCGTACCCAGGTCACAATTTTAAGAATTAGAGTGGTAAAAGACAGGGATTCAGGGGTCGGTCAAGGGCCCGCGGGAAGTGGGAACAGTACGTACTACGCCCTAAGCCACATCGTCATGCGCTCTCGACGATCCCAACTGGCGGAACGCGCCCGTTGACGCGTCTGCGACCGGCCAACATGCCAAATCCACCAGACTCGGCCGAGGAACGGCTGCATTTGTCATCCCGAATCAAAGGCGCTGCTGTCTCTGGCGCCATCATGGCGGACCCACGGATTGATATCGATGATCGAGACCGTTCGTTACAATCCATCGTCTCTGAGAGTGGAAAAAGCCTGGTTGATCAGCTCCTAGACGTCCAGAAAGCCATTGTCGACCAATCAAAACCTCTACAATTCGTCAGGAAATTAGATGTCCTCTACTTCGAACCAGACAACAAACGCGGCGCAGGCAGTGATGATACTCGTTCTCCGGGGAAATGGCGACGTCGAAGAGGGTACAACGCCGAAGCGAAGAGCGACTATGTCGCTGTATCTTGAACTTGGAATGCTGCGCAGGACGAAGACCCGAGGTTCGGAGGCTTCAACGTAGAGACATCATTGAAAGATGACTTCCAACCGTCAGGAGTACGCGACAAGGTCTTCGAGAGAATTCGGCATTACACAAGTGCCCAGCCAGGACATCTGAAGTACGTGTGGATAGACCAGCACTGCATCGTCCAAGAAGAAGGGCCGGAAAAGACCCAAGGAATGCAAGCGATGGACCTGGTCTACGGACTGAGCGGCCACCCAATCTCCTTACTCGCAAGACGGATCAATTCCAAGGAGAACGTGCGTCTCTTGGCCGACATCCTCGAAGGCGTTTTTATTACCCACATGACGGGTTCTGCGGAGTTCAGACTGAGTCCCCTGGCGGTATCATCGTCGCAGATACTTCGGGATGCTATGGACCTTCTGGAAGCAATCACATCCGACTTGTGGTGGAGCAGGGCCTGGACCTTTCAGGAGAAGTATCTCAGCGAAAGCAAGATGAAGCTCCTGATCCCCCACTCTCCGGACCTTGGAATTGAAAAGGAGAAGAGGCATAAGAAGAAGGTCTTTGGCACGACCGGTGGCGAGCTATGCATCAAGTCTATCGACTTTCATAGACAGGTGACACAGCTTTGCCTAGCCTGTAAGAAAGAGAGGCCGAATCTGGCCGCCAGTGCAGATCGCATTCTCGGGAAGGCCTCCAACTACGAGATCTTGCTGAGAGATACGGCCCCTGACGCACAGTACCTGACTCGATGGTCCCAGTCGCCGAGGATAATCAAAGACATTGAGCCACGCGAAAGCAAATACTGCTCCGACAGGCTGGCGATCATCGCCAATTGCTGCCAATATTCCATCAGGCTGGACGATGTGAAATTGCGGAGAGGCGATCACAGTGTAAGCCTGGCCCTGCTGGCTTTGTACCTTCTCAACGGGGAGATGATAAAGAATGAGCCTTTGGACAGAGAGCAGAAACAAGAATGCTTGCAGAAGACGGTCTCGAGCTTTATCGAGGATGAATCCTTTGATGGATTCTGTCCGCCACACTCCAAGAAACCGCTTCTCTTCAACAAGGGATGTCGTTTCAACAACGTCGTACTCACACCCAGAGGTATGCTAACCAAGGGTCACCTGTGGAAGCTTCATCTTCGCTTCCAGGCTCCGATTGAACAATTTTCGTCCAGGAAAGATGACAGAAATCCGCTGGCTAGACAAGACTATGTACTTTGGCGGCTGAGCCAGCTTCAGCATGTTCTGGAGTTACTTGGGTACACGCCAATTGCAAAAGAAGTTGCAAAATTCATCGATAAGAGCCTGCATTTTGATTACAATGAGTCATTTTCTCGATGGTACATGAGAACCATGGCCAAAATGGTGGTGGCCGCGATGGATGCTCATAAGCCGCTGTGTCTTGGGGGGATTCTAGAAGGTGACAGCGATTTTTCTTACAAGGGCATCTTCATACTTGACGATTGCGAAGAATTTCCAGGGTGTAGCGAGTGGGATAATGACGAGGATTGGTCGGGAGAAGAAGATGCAGTAGGCCAGCTTGAATCAGAATTGGGCAGCGGCAGCGGCAGCGACAGCGACAGCGAGAGTGAACACTCGTACGGGTTCACCATCGACAAACCCGAGTCTTGGGCGGACGAACCGATATACGTCTTCACCTCATCCAAACCAAAAGAGGAGGGATCTTGTAATTCGTACCCCAACGATATTGACAAACATGTCTCTATTGAGATTGAATCACAGGGAGCTCAATTAGAGGATGGCTACCACCGTCCAAACTTGGTCACGAAGAGATGGATCAATGGTCTGTGTTTCTTCCGCGGTCATCCTCGACAGGAGGTTGTTTTCCCCTGGCATCCCGCTTTGACAAACAATCGCGGCGTCTAGACTTCGGGTGTTAAATAGACGTCTGCTTAATAATAAATCTGCTGTAGATAAAATAAGATGCCGGTGGGAGACTTTCATGAAATTGCACATCAGCGGTTCGGTCCTTTTACCGCAAACTTTCGTGAACCTTCTTCAGCTGGGCTTATCCCCGTAACGTCGCAGTAAAGTATACGATCCCCACTCCTTCTCATTGCGCCCACAGAGCCATGTCTATGGTAAATGTATGCGGAAAATGTGTTTGTCTGTAAGAGAGACAGCGGCAAGAACATCTCAAGCCGAGCAACTCTAGGAGAAATCAACACATCAATAGTGGTAGAGGAAGGAAATCTATTCATCACTTCAAGCTGTTAATTTTGTCTTTGAAATTGCCGAGCGGGCGGTTGGTCGCCAGTCGGGGTGACGCTTGGTGATCAGCGTCAATCCCACAAATGTTTCTCCCAAGCACCCCATGAGAACTGCAGACACTCTCGGATAGTGAGGTTGAACAAGCCTGATTTACATCTGAATATGTATAACCACCTTTCTTATAGCCTTCTTCAGTTTCCAAGGTTGGGAAAATCTCTACATGTACTTGTGGAGCTATCTAGCAAAGAATTCCAACTTTCTACAGATTTTGCATAGAGCAAGTCCTTACAACAACCTGGAATGCGATTGACAACATTGGTCTTCTGATGCCTCATCTAACAGCAAGAGACGTCACTTTAGCCTTCTCGAGGCCAGCTGGGTTTCGCGTATCTGAAGCCAATGGCAACGGTGCTAAAGACCATACACGATCCCGTGAAAACAACCACCCCTTTGTACTTGACCAGGCCATAACTTTCCGCCGACGTGATGTGATGTAGGAGGTTTCCGCTTATCGGCCCAGCCAAAACATTGCCTACTCCTTTCCCAAAATTGAAAAGACTGAATATCATGGGAACAGCAGTCGAGTCGGTGCTCACTGCAGTCGTCATCCTTGCCCACATGGCTGTGAAGCCGGCTGCGAAGAAGCCGTAGACCAAGGCGAAGACGATGAGAAGCGGCAAGGTGTGGGCAAGACCCCACAGGGCGAATGCTGAGGTTGCTGAAATGATCGTGGAAACGATGGTTAGTGCCTCAAGGGGCACCTTTCTGTCCGATAGCCAACCGAAGGTGAGCTGGCCGGCGACTTGTGAGACGCTCATCAAAGCGAGTAGAAGAGCACCGTCTCTTCCGCTAAGACCAATGGATGCAGCATAAGACGGCAGCCACAAAGACGGAAAGAAGTAGCCCAAGCCTTGTGCAATGTTGGAAATGGAGAAGACCCAGAAGAGGGCATCGCGAAGAAAGCTCCAGTCCATGCGGGTCGAGGTGCTGTGAACGGAAGTCGGCAAGCGGCCTTTCAAGAACGGGATCAACGGCCCAGTCAAGACGAACAGAGCAACAGCGATAGCGCGCAGCGTCGTCTGGTAGCCGTACTTGTCTAAGAGTGCCTCAATGGCGAACGGGAATACAGCCCCAGAGACACCCGATGAGCTGCATAGCAGTCCGTATGCCATCCCGCGGCGGGTGATCCAGTACTCATTGACCATGGTGAGGATCGGGTAGTAGAAAATGAGGAACCCAACTCCGTAGGCGACTCCTTGAGTAAGGATGAGAGTCTCGACGGTGGTGCAGAACGAGGCGAGGACGACGCCTCCTATGCATACGAGCCCTGACTACCGTATCAGTGACATTCCATGAAGATCCGGCACATGTGTCTACTTGCATCCAGCCCAAATTATCTGTGTCTGAAAGCGCTGGAATCGCTTGATCAAGGGTGTAACGGCCGGTGCGCCAAGATAACTGATACCAGAGGCGACACTGCCGACGACCGGGATGTAGCGGTTGCTCTCAAAGGCGGGCTGTTTGGAGTAGTAATTCTGGAAGACACCGAAGGAGAGCGGGAAGCCTGAAATTAATCAGCCGTTGACGCTGCGAATACGAGACCGAAAGGTTTAATCACCCCATAAGAGAGCCTCGAAAACAAACGCAGTCAAGAGGAGCTTCCATGCCGCGAAGCCCCGGTCAGTGGGCTCGAGCTGATGGTGATGCTGCACTCCATGGCTTTCAGTCGAGTCGCTGGGGTCGATTATCCGTTCGTCTGTGTGAAAAGATACGGCCGAAGGTGTCGCCAATTCGATTGATTCCACGTTTGATTGAGCGGACATGTTGAATTGTCTACGCGAGAGAATGCTGGCAATGAGAAGATGTCTGGTTGATAGCATTTTATGAGTGACCCCATGCACCGGCTGCGGGGAATGTGAGCCGAGGCTAGCCTGGGTGCTCCGGTGATCGCTGATCTTGTATGCTTGGCGCCGACGGCTAGTCGTTCTCATGACATTCGGTAGCGTTTACCAACACTTTCATAGTAGCAATGCCATCACGCGTTTTACTTGATAGCGCATGCTGGACAGATACATCGGATATTTTGAGACGCATTGAACCAAGTCGCAGTGAAGCACTCGTTCACTCTAGTATCTCGCCTCCTGAGCCCTGGCTTCCATCCTTAGATCCCAGGTACATAATGTCGTGGAAAATTTGAAGCTACCCATCCTCTTCTTTTCTCCACCAGTACTGCACTTTTACCATGAGTGAATCGTCCCTGTCGACGGCAACAACGGGCTCATCCCACAAGTCGACTCTCATCCCGACCCAGCCCTCCGATCTAGCCTTTGCCTCGACGTCCTCGGCCGAAGCAAAGCCAGCGGGGCTGACATGCTCATCAGTGCCGAACTCAAATTCGGTGTTTGTCAATGGCCGTATGGTATAGTAGCCTTTGGACTTGAGTGCCCCTGTGTTTTCTTCTGCGAGAGAGCTTTTATTGGGAGCCGTCTCGTGAAGGTAGCGCACGATGGTCTCCCTGTCGCGGGCAGCAAACGAGGGATTAGGTCGACATATCTGGTAGCATGACGAAGAAAAGAAGGCTCCCTTGGCGTCGATATCCTCGGTATGACGGTAGGAGGCGTAAAGCTCCTTCAGGTGACTGTCAAGTGCTGGATCGATCTGAGGAGATGCCATGTGTGCGGACGATGATGCCGAAGATCCAGTCAATATGTCATAACAAATGAGATTAGAATCAACGGTTGCTCAGTTGGGGGCAGGGCCGTAGTTGCACGCAACCCATTGGGATGCGACTCATGGTGGACCAGATTGTGTCAGCTTTTAGCGTGGTATCAGCACACTATGAGATGCATACCCGGCTGCCTGCCATAAGCCAAGGTCAATAGGTGAAGGTCCCCATTGCAGAGATGTCACCAAGAAAAAGAAATATGAGCGCTGGTTGCGCTCAGGATTTCAGACGTCGTGCAACTTGCCCTGGCCATCTTCAGACCGGCCGCAACCCGACGCCGACCCGGAGCAGCAAAGACGGCATTTTGACGTGGCGTTCCCGTCTTAGATGTGGCACTCCGGACTTGATGTGGGGGAACTCCGTCTCTCGTCCTGTCGAGAACTCATAAAAGCACACAGGGGACGGGAAGCCGATCTCAATGAGTGGTGTATCATTACTATTGTTCTATGTTTTCGCCCGCGAACGCAAGTGCGTGTTTTGGTATAAAATATCCACAGCGTCAATCCCTTCTTCGCCCCGACCGGCGTCTCTAAACGTTTTCTTACTGCCTCAGACCCGTCACCAGTCATGGATCATCTTTGATTTCCCTTGGCTCGATCCTTTGGCTCAATGCCACAAGCCGGATGAGCGGCATAAATGGCCACCGTACGGAGCCGAAGGTCCGTGTTCGTAGGCCGAAATGTCCGTCTCCGGGACGGCTCTCCCCGTTAAACTTTCGCCTCCCCGATGAACCAAACTCAATTATACAACCTTCAACTTAAGTCCAACCTGTACCGTACGCGCAGCGATGAACACGCCCACAGCCGCGAGCATAGCAAACCCGCAGAACAGCTGCAGGCCGAGGAAGCTGCCACCCTGCGACGCGACAATCGCACCGGCAATGGGGCTGCCCGTCAACGCGCCAAAGGACTGCACGGCAAACGCGGTTCCAGTCCGGATGCCGATCTGTCTGATATCAGAGATTTGGGCAATCAGCGCAGGTGCCAGCGAGATGAAACCGCCCGACGAGAAGCCGAAGATGACAAGGAAAACGATGATGGCGGCGTTGCTCTTGCCTGGTATCCAGAGCGCGAGGCAGAAGAGGGCGCTGATGAAGGTGATGAGAATCATGACGTTGTAGCGGCCCATCTTGTCGGCGACGATGCCCGGGATGATGCGGCCGAGGATGCTGACGGCGTTCATGATCGGGAGCAGGTAAATCACCAGGTTCTCGTCCATGCCCTGCGCCCGCGCCTGCAGGATGACAAAGTTGAACGGCAGGAACATGCCCCAGAAGAAGAGGAACAGGCCAAAGATGGTGATGGCGAAGGCGGGCTGGCGGAAGCCGTCGAGGTACTCTTGGAGGACGAAGGGCCGCGGCCTGGGAGGCAGACGCGACTTGACCGTCAAGCACGCGATACTCAGCAGGAAGAGGAACAGGAAGGCGACGGTGCGGATGGCCCACGGGAAGCCGACCTGCGGGATCATCTTGGACATCATGATGGGCAGGATGACGCCGCCGAGGGAGGACCCCGAGACCATGATGCCTAGGGCGGCACCCCTGCGGCGGAAGAACCACGACGTGACGGAGGCCATGCAGGCGTTGAAGGCGGCGCTGGATCCGATGGAGGATACCAGACTTTGGGCGAGGATGAACTGGTAGTACTGCGTCGACAACGAGGTCATCATTAGGCCGAAGACGTACACGATCGTGCCGCCGTAGAGGAGGTATTTCGGGCCGTATGAGTCGTACAAGCGACCGAACTACGACAAGTCAGCGACGTCACTTCGATCGGAAAATGGCAAACCTACCAGAGCGCCCATGAATGTCATCGTCCACACCTGCAAACTCGTAATCCACGACACCGTCGAAGAAGGATACTCCCTCAACGGGCCCTCTAGGTAATACGCCTGGAAGACGCCAACGCAGTTGATCAGCCCGAACGTGCAGAACAGCGCGCACCAACCGCCAAAGACGACGAGCCAGGCCTGCGTGCCGCCGTCCGGGAAGTCAGCGGGGTTGAAGCCCGGCGCGGCGGTTGCGGGTGGCGCCGCAGGTGCGTCGCCGTCTTTCTTGGCATCCTGCCCGTCGGCGGCCGGCGACGGTGACGCCAAGCCGCCCTTTTCGATGTCGGCCTCGGCGACGTTGGCGGGTTCCGGGTAGATGTTTGCCTCGGTCTCGCGCTGCTGAGAGGGGATGCGCTCCATTGATGGATGGCGGGTGGAGGACCCGTAGGGCGAGCGGTCCCCCGTCTCCTCCGTCTTTTCTGGGTCCGTCCTTGCGGGGGCTTGTGGCTTCTCCATCACCGTCGAGGAGTTGGACGACGTCGAGAGGGCGTCGTTGGAGCGCATTGCTGCGGTGGGAGTTGGTGTTTGGAACTGGTCTTTCTCTCAGCGATCGATGTGTTGTTCCCTTGGTTCAGTCCTGTTATTAGTTGAGGGGAAGCCTCTCGAGTGAGAGATCTCAATGCACCCCTTTTGTTGATCGTTCCAGGCGAAAAATTCTCGAACAAAAGAACCCTGCGGGCCGATGAGATGTGGTGGGGCCGGTTGGCTGTCTGTCGCGTTTCTCTCGTGGTGGCGAGCTTGTCTCGAAGGATGGATAAGATCGGATGGCAGCTCTACGAACTTTGTATCTCCTGGAGAAGAAGCCTTCAGGCGACGGATTCAGATGATGGCGGATACACAATGCCCGTTTGTCATGATGCAGCTCAGCTGGCAGGATGGGCAAGATTAATAATTGGAGAGCCAGGCAGACGAGGAAGAGACACGGCAAATTCGACACTCCAGGCTCGCGTTCTTCTCGCTCTTTACCATGGCATTCTTGCTAGGCTCGGAGAAAAAGCAGCAACAGGGAGTGCGGGAACGAAGTAGGCTGCCGCCAGCTTTCCTTCTGACAGCCCTCTGACAGACCCATGCTCGGGTTTAGACGCCATGCTCTTCTTGATCGACGCAATTCTGGGTCACCCCCTCTGAGATTCTGGGGACTCGGGGAAGAGGGGGTTGGGTTGGGCTCCACGCCGCCCGGGGTTAAACAGCTTCGGCCGCTTGATAGCTCTTTACCGCGTTGGGTATCTGTAGCTCGTTCAAGATCCGTTGGTCTTGACCGGCCGAAGTACGTAAATTGCCGGGCAAGCGACGAATAATTGCGCTGCTAATGCTGCTAGTTATTGTGAAAGATCTGTCGGGGTGATGTCCGCGCATTCTTTCGCTCCCTTGCCTGCAGAGAGCGACCGTGGAAGAAGCAGTCTGGTCTTCCACACAGTAGTGGACGTCGGAGATCGTGTCACTCTTTTCTTCTTCTTTTCCCGAAGAGACTAATGCGACAAAGCTACTCGCAAAAGGAATCAAACGGTGCAGCTTAGCGCTGAGAAAGTCGGTCAGCGGCCCTCAATTGCCACGAGAACCATTTATTGCGTTTTCATTTTTTCTTCAGGCGGCATTGTGCTGTTGGTGATGCGTAAGATGGCTGCACAGTTGGTGCGCAAGTTAAATCTCAGCGCCCCCAGATTGAGCTTCCAGAGAGTCGCCATGCATCAGATTGTGAGTCCCATAATCTGGTTCTTCAGCGCTTGAAAAGACCGAGACGGCTGTGAGATGATGAGATCTGACGCCGGGGGGAACATCCTGGCCCGGAGCTGGCTTCCGATGTGGGGGGCGCGGACGGTCCCTTTGGCTCGGCGTTGAGACGAAAACGCGAGGCCCGAACATCTGGAATTGAAATGGCACGTTGAACCTCTTCCAATCACTGGGCGCAAACGGTTGCAAAGGGTGTGCTCGGCTTTCGGTTCGGAAATCGAGCAAGTGTTTTCAGGTACGCTAAACAATTAGAATGTACGTAGATATTGACACCAGTCCTAGCGACTTTGGCCTCTGTGCATAGTGAAGCCACCACGTGGAATAGACGTGCGCGCCGTCAACCAAGCTTCTTCTGATGGAACGCCAATGCGTCTGGGCTTATTTGCTGGAGATTGGGCCCTTATCAGTCGGAGAACGAGACACATGAGATCTCCGAGATCCAATCTCACGTCGAAATGCATCCGTAACTATGTCCGCACACCCGTGGCTGACATATCTGATCCGGACGGACACAGGCCCGTCTCACGCGCCCGCTATTGAGCCGCGTCTCTCCTGGTGGTCAAGTTTGATCTGTTGTATTACACAGTAGATGTACATTTGTCAGCCTTATGGCTGCGTGGTGTGATTGTGAACAATCCTTTGCGGCGCAGCGACGCCTTGCTCTTTAACTCCGGCTTCGTAGTGATTCTACCTCACAAACTCCTTCAGATCCTTGGCGTCCTCAAAGTTGACCTTGCCATCGCGGCTGATGTTGGCGACATGGATGGCCGAGGGGCCCTGCTCAACTGACGCGGGCGGCTTGGCCTCGGCTTTGGGCTTCGTGGTGAGCTCAACCGCCTCAGCAGCAACGCCGGCAGGCGCGTCCGCGATCTCGTTGACTTCCTTGTTGGTGAGAGAGTCAGCGACTCTGACGCCTCTGCTGGACATCAGGATGGTGGTAGGTCCGCGGAATTGGAGGAACAGGCGGTCGCCCCAGATGGTGCGACGCAGCGTTGTTCGCAAAGAGAAGAGCCAGCGCGCGAGGGTCTTGTAGGTGCTGGTGTCTCGCATGTTCTTGATGAACTCGGTCTCGGGAAGGAGGCCAGTGATGCTTGGGACCTGGAAGCGCAGAATATTGGACTTGAGGCGGAAGGGGAGAGGGGGGTTCCGAGAAACTGAATATGCGACCACGTGGGACGGGTGGGCAACGAACTCTTCACCCTCGGAAAGGTTGAGCTCGTAGATCTGGCCCGGAGACGACAGCGCTGCCAGGCCACGGCCGGAAAGGTGGGTGTTTCCCCAGTGGGCGACGGAGAGACCACGGGCGATGCGGGGAGATACGGAAAGAGTGTGTCCTGTCCATGCGAGGAGCGCATTGCGCTGGGTGATCATGTAGTCGGTCGTGCCATCGAGGTGGAGGACAGAAAACGTCGTGCTTGGCGACTTTGTGGAAATGAGAGCCGTGAGAGGCGTCGAGGAGGAAATGCGCTGATAGAGGAAAGGAACGCCGAGGAAGGCTCGTGTGAAGGGGGAAAGAATCGAGAGTGTGGATTGGGCCTGTACGGAAGGTCAGCACTATCGGTGGTGCTCGTCGTAGTATGTTCCCTCACATTCTCAGCCTTGCCCGCGACGGCAACGAGAGTGCCTCTCCTCGTGTATAGCTGTTGCGAGGCAGACAGGGTGACGGAGAGGAGGGAATAGGGCGAGCCGAGGACCTCGAAGCGGGCATCTGCGTATGTTCATATTAGCATAGAGCCCCACGATAGTCCTTCAGGGTAATCGCATACCGGCCGAGTCCCTCAGGGCGGTGCCTCGAGCTCCGAAAACATCCCCGCCAACCTTTGGAGCTTCAGTCGTCGGCGCCGCACTGATTTGGATGCTCCTGCACTGCCGGCAGACGTAGGAGGGCGTCTGTCCCGGTCGCGCACCGCGAGCTGTCCGCAACAGGGACAATTGGGCACGCATGGCGGACATTTGGGGGTAATGACGTCGGTCGTTGGATCGTGACCTCGAAGCTCCAGACCAGCAGCTCCCGGCGGCTCGATCACGAATTGAAGATGCAACGGCAAAAAATCGGAGCGGAGCTGGCGGGGGCCGGGAGAACCTGGCTTCCGGGCCGAGACTCTTGGGGAAGGTGGGAAGCTCCTGGGCCATGCCTGCCCACCTGCTCAGTGCTTAGGTAAGACCGCATCAGGTACGTCTCTTTTCACCGCTCACCTTCGCAAACGGCTTAGCGCCATCACCCCGGCGACGACTTATGACGCGGGCCTGTTGACAAGGGTCTCGGACCCTCACTTTTGCATATTCCTTGCACAACACTGAATCCGTCGAATCCACGCCTGAACGCTTCCAACTTGGAAACCTTAGGCAACCTCGAAATCGTCAAATCTCTTTCTCATCAAACCAATTTCCCGCCTGCGCGTCCCCTCGAAACCGACACGACGGCGACGACGACACGCTTCGCTCTGCGTCTCTGTCTCTCCTCCGTTCCTCACCTGCGTGTCCAGGCAGCTTGCTACCTCCTCCCAAGTAATCCTGGACTGACTGTGGCCCACGATGTCGGTTCGTGTGGTCGCCCGCATTCGCCCTCTCCTCGAGAAGGAGCTGGACAAGGACACAATCGTCCGGGCTGATAGCTCCGAGGAGGGTAAGCACGCCACGCTCGTCAAGATCCCGAACCCCAAGAACGAGACCGAGGAGTTCTCCTTCGCGTTCCAAAGTGTTTACGACCAGGCTACGACGCAGGAGGAGCTCTTCACCGCCGAGGGTACGCGATTACACGCCAATTTCGAGACAACGCGTTGCATCTTGTACTAACTTCACCAGTCGCGCCCCACCTCAAGGCGCTCTTCCAAGGCCTCGATGTCACCATTTTCGCATACGGTGTCACGGGTACCGGAAAGACGCACACCATGCGCGGCGGCTTGAAGCTGGCCGACCGAGGCGTCATCCCCAGATTGCTGAGCGGAGTGTACCGACGCGGAAAGAAGATCGCCAAGGACTCGGGAGGCAACACGACGGTCGATGTTGCCCTGTCCTACTACGAAATCTACAACGACAAGGTCTTTGACCTGTTCGAACCACCGGAGAAGCGCAGCGCTTCAGGTCTCCCTCTCCGCGAGAAGGATGGCAAGACGCAGGTCGTGGGTCTTTCCGAACGGGCATGCGAGGACCTCCAAGACTTCTCAAAGCTCTACATCGAAGCGAACAACAACCGCGTCACCGCCGCCACGAAGCTCAATGCTCACAGCAGTCGAAGCCACGCTATTTTGAGAGTGAAGGTTACGCAGACAACGGGAGACGCCATCCGCGAGAGCACCGCATCGGCCATTGATTTGGCTGGCTCAGAGGATAACCGCCGGACGGACAACGGCAAGGAGAGACTCATCGAGTCTGCTGCCATCAACAAGAGTCTGTTCGTCCTGTCTCAGTGTATCGATGCCATTGGCCGTGGGGATAAGCGAATCCCCTACCGCGAATCCAAGATGACTCGTATTCTCAGCCTGGGCCAGAACAACGGCATCACCATCATGATTCTCAACCTCGCACCCATCCGCAGCTACCACCTCGATACCCTGAGCAGTTTGAACGTCAGCTCCAGAGCTAAGCGAATCGAGGTCCGCGAGATCGAGAACGAGGTCGTCTTCAAGCAGGTGCCCCGCACGAACTCCGCTAACTCCACACTTGCACACCGCCAACCTCTCCGCCCGCTGGCGAACGTTCACAATATCCACAGTGGTACGATCGCTGCCAAGGAGAAGGAGAAGAAGGAGGACGTCACCCGCCCAGTAAAGGCCTTCAACGTGTTCGCCGATCGTAACAAGCCGGCTGCCCCCACCCGCCCTACTGCAAACACTACCCAAATCCGCAAGCCGGCCATCGTTGTGGAGAAGGAGGCGGCGCCTAAGGTCTCGAAGCTGGCTCGTCCTGCTTCCTCGGCCCAACCAGCTCAGCAGAAGCTGTCAATCTCTGCAGAGCAGTTGGAGGCCCTTGTAGAGAAAAAGGTTAGCGAGATCCTTAAGTCTAGGGAAAACAAGGAGATCGAGCCTGCGCCGGCAACTGCCCACCCCGATATCAACGAAGCGGTGCAGCGTCGCCTGGAGGCATTGGAGCGCCGAATTGAGAACGAGGAGCGTGACCGAGATGACAGCCGCTCTGAAGGACTCCGCTATCTGCTGGCTGCCAGACAAGCGAAGGAACACGGTGACGATGTGGGGGCGCTCAAGATGTACGAGCTTGCCCTCCCATTCTTCCCAGGACAGGCGAAGCTGTTGGGAAAGATTGAAAAGTTGAGGTCAAAGATTGGTAACAGCCTCGCTATTGAGGTGGGCATGCCCTCACCTAGCAAGCGTGACAGACACGAGAAGAAGCGCAGACGGGTCGCGTACGACAGCGACGACGAGTTCCAGCACGCTGAGGCCGACGAGGATATGAGCTTCGTCGATGTCGCCGCCAAGTCGAAGAGCCGAAAGGCCAAGTCGACAAAGCCTGCCACCAGGCTGCCTCTCCCCGAGCCCAGCGGACCCGCGTCCCCGCAGACGCAGTCCTTGTTGAACATTGTCAACTCCCGCGACCTCGCACAGATCAAGAGCCTCCACGGCTTCGGATCCAAGAAGGCACAGGACCTGGTTGACTACCTCGAGGAGATGCCGGAAGAGCAGGGCGGGAACATTGAGTCCCTGGCGCAGCTGAGGACCATCCCTGGAATGGGTGGTCGCACCGTTGATCGCGCGTATGATGGTATGGTCGGTGTCGCTGTTTAGAGCGACTTATATCCCATCCTTGCATTGAAACGCCGGTGGCTTTCACAGGGGCATTGGCATTGGCATTGGCATGGTGTTTTTGGAGTTTTCAGCATGCAGGCCGCGGTGGCCTTGAAAGATAGGTTGCTTTTAGACTGTTGCATATTTGTGCGAGCACTGCTTCGAATCACAGCTTCAGGTTGGTCTGGTTTGACCATAATAGAACTACTCCGTTTTGCTGCATCCTGTCATCGATGAGTTTGATCCTCTCTGAATCCCTAAGTCTTGATGTCTCGGCTGTTGGCCCCTGCCGCGGTCTTCCAGCCCATCGGTCCTCAACGATTTCGCTTGTCGACTCTGATATGGTTCTCTTTTAGATTGGAGCAGCGTGAGTTCTCTGAGCATGGCGGGCAAAGATGGACAATGAATTACAATGAGATCAGTCCCAAGCTGGACGTGGAGAAGAGACCAGAGGCACGTCTCGCGTGCCATCAAATGAACGAGCACTTCATGACTCAACAATGCAAGGCGGAAAGAAAAGCAGCATATTGCAGAGGAACATCCAGCATGCCAACGCATGCGCCATGCTCTCATCCATCCTACACGGCAAACTCCATCGGCCTAGGCCCGGTGTGACCCCCAAACAACTGCATGGCCCAACTTTTGAATCGCTCCCAGACAGCACAAACCTTGTCCCAAAGAAAGGATAGAGCTCCTCTCAGCCAGTCCATAAGACTCTCCCATGGTATGAAATAGACAGCCGCCGCGGCAGTTACTCCCATGACAACGGCCGGCCCTGCTGCGGTGACGATAGTGGCAGCTCTTGCACCGGCCGCGTCGAGCTCCAGAGCATGGAAACCAAAGGCGTACTTGACATAGACACCGCCCACTGCTGCGTTCGCAGCGATCTTGATCTTCACAGTCCCGACGGCGAGACCGACGATTGCTGCGACGACCCCTTTGATGTCATCCCAGCGACTCTTACCGGATAGTGCGTCGAAGTGCTGACGTAGCTCGGCCTGTTCCGACTCGGTGAACTGGTTTCGACATCTTGCCCAGTTGGGCATGTTGACAATCTCAGCGACCCTAATGCGGACGCCCCTTGCGTAGCCTAGCAGGAGGGTATGACGTTTGTGTCGATGTGCTTGCCACTTATCCAGGCGGACGCTGTTGTAGGTAGACGAGCCATCGATGTACAGCTTCCCCTTGCTGCCATGCGCCGCGCAACGAAGAACTTTGAGCTGGCTGAAGTGCGATGGGACATGGAACCAAATCTCATCCACATCAGGGCTAACCAGAAGATTGAGAATGTGTTGCTTAGATGTGGTCTTCATCGCCGCGAGGGTGTCTTGGAGCCCTTGAGCAGTTGTGAAGAGCATTGGAGGGGCTTGAATGACTGGTCAGTAGAGTCGTCGGCAGGGTAGGGTGATGCTAAGATACACACGTTTACGTCGGATGAATCCAAGAAGCTTTGGACCTTCTGCGCATACTTTCTCCAGCTCATCCAAGCTCTGCTCCCGCACGACACCGATCGTTAGGCTCTCATCGCTCCTCTCCTTCACGACGACACCAGCGACAGCGCTGACCTCTGTCTTGATAGACTTGTGGGACAGTGTACTAGAGGATGTGGTATCGGAAAATCTGCTCGACACCATTGTGGCAAGGATTGAACAATGGTAGGAATCGAGTATCGATGGAAGTGCTTATAGACGAGGTCTTCAGAGGGAGGCAGGTTGATGGAGGTGTTGTGGCAGGTAGACTTTCAGCTATCGAGATTCTGAGAAGATCGATTGGGCAACGAGAAGGCACGCAAGAGTCAGAGAACTGCAGACTCTTTCAAAGATAGAAAGTAAGATTGAAAGCGACCTGAAGAAGGAAGAATCCTGACAGCTATTGGGGGCTTCAGGCAGTGTTTTATAAGTTTGAGACCACTCTATCCACGAGCTCATGTAAAGCGTAGCTTGCAGACGACAGAGCACAAGTTCGCGGTGACTTTTCGAGATGTCTGTATTACCATGTCGTCAGTACGTGACAATATGCAAGGACATTTCAACATCCAATAGATGGTAAGCCTGCCTAGCCTGTTATGTACGATGCTGGGGATCAGCCATGCCGCTCATGCACCGCTCATGCACCGCTCATGCATAACCTACCTAAGCAGGAGCCAACCAACATCTGGGAGTTTGAGTCGCACTACTGCTTGAACACTAGCCAAACAAAATGAAGGTTCTCAACCGTAAGTGTCATGTGATTTGCTCTTGTTCCAAGTGATTATCGGTCTCACAAGGACATGAAGACGGGCGGGGTAACCCGTTCGTGTGCGACCAAGCCCTGGCGCAGGACGTGAGGTGTTCGCTGACAATGCAAAAACATCTTCTGCGGCTTGATATTACTCAGGCCTGTCATATGAAATCTGCCCTCCATATTTCACCTACAATTGACCCTATGTCTTTCGTTCCGGGCTCTATTACTCACAGCAAGTCACCTTCCCGTGCGCAAAGGGAGGAGATGAAACCAAAGATCACCGAAATATGGCTGCATAGAGCGTACACTAGCCAGAACCTTGTTGAGATCCTGCGTCGTGAGTATGGATTCATGGCCACGTATGTGACGAGATATTGGTTTCAAGCCGAACTAGACCGATCTGACTATACCACGCAGGCCCAAAACGTGCGCGATTCATCTCAAACGATGGGGTCTGACTACGTACAGGAGACGAGCAGCTTCACCAGGATCAGAGCAGCCATCGCAGCCTACGAGGAAGCGAAAAGGCCAGCCAATGATGCGAGGGGATGAGACGCAGCTACTCAGAACCATTCTTCCCAATCCAACCACAAACAAAATGCTTAGGCCTGCATCCTACCGATCACTGGAACTGATGCAATACTGCATTGATCACTTCATTGAAGCAGTCTTCGGAAAAGCAGCTCAGAACTTCTCCTTTCTCGACTTGATGCGGTCAAAAGGAAATGGTGGCCTCAACTGGGAACGCATAGGTGATTTTTACTGCACGGCCGAGAGAAACTTTCGTGATCAAAGGTTCAGGTTTTGTGCCGGGCGTAAGAAACATTCTCAAAGCGGCCTGAAGGTATTGAGGAACTCGAGGGGCCTTGACCAGGCTCGTTGTCAGGTGCGGCTTCTGTTGCGGGCGGAGCATCATGGGTATTCAAGGGCCCTGGGAAAAGTAACGAACCCATCAGCATCGCATCGACTTAAACAAGCCATGGTCCCTCCATCGATAGACGCTCAGCGTACAAGACATCGCATTTTCATTGTCAATTTCTGGCGCCTGTGTCATCGGCTTCTCAGGAACGATCTGGTATGGCCACAGTACGACTACTCTTATGTTCAAGACTTCCTCTTGGAGTTGGAAATCGTCGCTATTAAGGAATATGGTCCATATCACCCGCTATGTAAGCTGTTGGTGGCGCTTGTCAAGCTGCTGGGAGAGGTGTCAAAGGCGGATATGCTGGAGGTTCTGAGCCTCGGTGTTTCTCGAACTATTCAGTCCATGGCGCCAGGTGTCACTTCGGGACAGAAGCGATCTCTTGTCTTCCGCCGGTGGACGGCCGATATGAGACAGACTCGATGAATATGTAACATGTGGCATATCTTTCTATCTATGCTAGTTATGGACAGCGGGAGATCCCTTGAGTGTGCTTGAAGGGAAAGATTAAGAGAGGTCTTGACCACGCTATTATGCTCGGTTCATCATCTTTTAGTGGGAACACCAAGACAGATTGAACAGCATTTATCTCATAGACGTTCAGGGGCACATGACCTTCATATGGACGTAGAAAACATTGTTCGACAGTGACGTGAGATAATCACATCATCCATCCCACCGGGCTCCTGCCATCTTTTGCAGGGGAATCTTGGGAGCACCCACAAGATGAGCAATTTTTGATATATCTATCGTCAAAAGCAAGCTCATTCGGGCCGATCCTCGCCTATTGAAAGTCTTGGGGTTGGTCTTTTCAATCACCGACTACACTGACTGTGGGGCCGATACGATGTCGGCCACCGGCCGTCCCCCCGGTCAAATGCCGAGACCCATATCACAGCGTGGCGGTGGCTTGATCGGTGCGGGAGTTCAGCTTCCGCATTATCAAGATAGCACAATCGAAATCGGCCTCAACTCCAACATCACGAGATTGTTGCATAGCACAACTACGATGATAGAAAAAAAAGGCTCAGCTTTGAAATGAGCCCACTCACCATACACCGAGATGCATGCACTTACGTATTGTGATCACATTCGCCATGATTCAAGTCCCTTGCCCTCGAGTCTGCGAGATCATGTTCGGCATCGACACTCGGCTAGGGACAACCAGCTTTGAAGAGACTGACTCTGTGTGAACAGACGTTAGATATTTAAGTCTTCCATGGCTACCTTATACTATACATGATTGTTTGAAGATAGACCTAAGCCAAAGAAGCTCCCCCGTCTATCACCAGTTCAACTACCCGGTCCACTGCAATCGCGATGTTGTCGAAGCGCCTTCTCGTGGCTCTCGCAGCCTTTCAGGGCATCTCTGCCGCTCCTACAGTCAGCAACAGCACGGTTGACCGGGCAAACCTGACGGTCGCTCTCGTTCGCACTTCTCCGCCCAATTGGCCGTTGCCACTCACGAATTACGACTTTACTGGCGTGACATTCAACATTAGCGAGGTTGTCGACGCAGGTATCAAGTTGATTAACGACGCTAAGAGCGCCGGCTCAGACCTCGTTGTCTTCCCCGAACTGTGGTTCCCTGGGTAAAATTCTCTCGAAAATGCATTTGCTTCTTCCGCATGTCTGACGGGTGCAATCGACAGATTCCCCAAGGGTTCCTCAAGCAGCCACTACAACTTCACCCGAGATCACCTGCCTTCGTATATCGATAACGCCATCGTCGTCGGCGATGCTCAGTGGAGCCGCCTCGTAGCTGCAGTCCAAGAGGCCAGCATCTTCGCGAGCATCAACTTTGCCGAGAGAGATGGTGACTTCATGTACATGTCTCAATCCCTGCTTGGCCCTAAAGGCGACGTATTGCACCACCGCCGCAAGCTTCGTCCGTCCGGAGCCGAGCGCTACATGTTCAGTGATGGTACCACCGACGGTCTTAAGGTCGTGCAGACTGACTACGGTCGCTGGGGGATGTTGGAATGCGGAGAGTAAGTCTCGTCAACTAAAAGCATCCCACGGATACGAACGATTGGCTGATGCCAATTCGCAGACACCTCTACCCTAGTATGACCTTCAACATGTACGTCCAACGCGAGCATGTCCACCTGGCGCCGTTCCCATACCTCGCCGGCGTCGACGACGAGACTTCTCTCTGGTGGGAGAACGAGTGGATCAACACCGGAACCGTGGCAGTCTACTCCGTGCTGAGCGGCGCATACTCCCTCACGTCCTCTGTGGGGGCCTCGTTTGTCACTGACCCCCTCGGGAACCGAGTGGCGTATGTTGCTGCCAATGTGAGCTTTGAGGAGGTTCCTATTCTCTACTACAGCTTCAACACCACTAGCTTCAACAACTCGGCCACGTATGACATCAATGGCCAGGCTTCGTGGGGAACGCTGAGTCAGATGGTCGACAGCTTCCCGGAGTACGTGCCAAAGGTTGAGGGAGAATTTGTGAAGCACAAGACGAACTCGATTGCCTGGCTCAAGACTGGAGAGTTGGTCATCCCCGAAGGCGCATAAGTCATGTGAGGGGCACACTAGTGTGGATGGCAAGGCAAGAGATCTTGGGAAATAGTCGAAGCAAGCCTCACAGGCTCGAGTACATGTAGTAGAAAAGTCTCTAGACTAACTTCCGCTTGTATCAAAATCTTGACTCTCGTACAACCATCCCAGATCTGGCAAACTAGATAAACTCCCAAAAGCCCCTAACAGATCTGATACAGATGACATCTCGCCGGCTTGCCATGCATGCCCATTGAAGGGAGTGGCATGGTGGTCATCATAGACCCCAACACTCGTCTGTGCTGGGTTATTGAGTCGACTGGAAAAGCTCACATCCTGTCGTGGGGATTCCTTTTCCTGCGCTGATGGCTCAACAGGAGCTGCGAATGCCATTGGAAGAGCACCTACTGCTCCCCATTTTTGAGCCAGCACGCGCACCACACGGATGCACTTATTAACGCGCGTTGGCCATGTCTCTCGCAGTTCATTCATAAGTCCCATCCCTGTCCGTAACCAACGCGAGCTCTGTCTTCTTAAATTGATATCACTACTGGTGGCGTTCATCAGATGAACAAGAATCGCGCTCAAAAGATGGTGCACTATGATAGGATGTGCCATCGTGAAGGTGTACCTGTCTCGATACAGCCGACACAAACGTATTGTCTCTGACGCTGCGCTTGTGATAGATCGTAGTACGAGTAGTGAACTATTTGATTCGGCTTCGTTGATACCGGGCGTGTCCGAGGAAGTGAAGGATCGCAGGAACGATGATATGATGATCATGATTGCCATATGATACTGCAAGTGGAAGAAAACGATTGGTTTCGGGGCGTCATTGTTCATGTGTAGTCGGTGTGGTTTCGAGCGGAAGAAGGTGTTGAGTTGCTCGAGCGTCGATACCAGAAGCCTGATTTGTTGTGCCATAGCAAGCTTCTCAAAGGATGGGGCGAATCTAATGACGAACTTATCAGAATAGTGCCTAGCGGCGATCATGTCACTTACATCTGGTCCATGGCTTCAGCGTGGGTGTACCATAGCTGACTCTGCCATGCGAATGAGAGCTCTGCCAAGTCTGCGGTTTCGGCGTTCAACGTTGTATGGAACTCAGGCACGTTGACGCGCCGCCACGGAAGTGCACAATTCCTCCCGAGAATAGTGATTGCAGATACGTCGACAAAGTAGAACATCCAGAACGTTCTGATCTCTGGCGACGTAGGCTTCAAAGCTCTCCCAGCACATTCGTCCAACGCAAGAACATGTAGTCGCAAGTGCACACACAAACCCCCAGCCATAGAGATGAACATCCAGCCCAAGTGATCTTTTCCAATGGACAAGGATCTGAACGATAGGATACACATTCCCTGAATAACTGATAGCGTGGGTCGATAGCGACAACAGTCAAAAACGAGCTTTTCTGCGTACTTCGCAAAGTCCTCGCCGACCTTGGCCATATTCGGGTCTCGGCTTGCTAGGAAAGCGGCTCCTGTCGCAAGTATGGCAGTATGGAGGAAGGTTTCATCGACGCTTCGGTATGGGTATTGATCCAGAAATGAAGGTGATGTGTATGGTGTAAATTGATGCTCTTGGTTGATGTTGTCGAGGAAGACTGATGCGAGTTTCGATAGTAAGTTCGAATCTTGACTGTAGCGGAGGATTTCATCAGGGGGTGAAATATGGGAGGTTTCCACAGCGTACTCTGCTGCAATCTCATAAGAAAGAGCCGAGTCGCCCTCCTGGGTGATGACTGCGCCGTCGCCCAGGTTCATCCTCCACATCATGACACTCAGCTCTTCTAAAGCCACTGGAGATCTTTCATGGGTTGGAAATGAAGGCAGCTCTTCATGATTCCGCAATGTTTCTGCGAGAGATATTGGTCCTTCCAGGCCATTGCTGTGCTCATGCTGCCGATAACTGACAAGGTTCGATTCGAATTCCTGATGTTCATCCGGTATGAGGCCTTTGACGAGTGGCAATGGAGCCGTTTCCGAAGAGGGCAAGATACCAAATTGTCTTTCATACTGTCTTACAACAGCGAGGAGAGCTTGCACCTGCTGCTCGAGACCTTTCACATAGTCTTCGTCCCAGTACTTTCTCCTAGATAGGTCCGGTTTAACTCCGCCCGAGAGCACCCGGGGTTTGTCTGGCTGCAGGCAACTTACTTCTTCGGACGCTGCTCAACGTACGTGCAAGGTTTGCCTAGCCTAGAACATAGCGAGCACTTCGGTTTGACCCCATCACACTCCAATATCCAATATGTCAACCAACATGATCTCCACTGCTGCATGCTCCCATGCACCCTTCGAGGTGGGGTACTGGTACTAACCTTGCGTTTGCCTGACTTGCACTGCTCACACGCAAATGCCAACGTCTTACCCTTCGTTCCGGCCATCGTTGCCTCGAAGTTTGTACGTGTTGAAGTAAATCAGATGGTCAAGCCGTCAACATCATGTCTGGTATCCTGGATTCCGAAGATGATTAGACGTGGAATTGAGTTCCGATGACTACCGATGCTGCGGAATAGATAAGATAACGGAGGCGGAGATTGTCCCGCTCAAAGTTCAAACACCGGAACCCCACGCACTAGCACCGGAATGTACATGTGAATCTAAAAGGCCCTGGTCAGATCTTAGCCGCTGCCATTTGATTCAGCCAGACTCTGAAGTCCCAGTTCAGCTCGTAAGTTGGCCTGGAAGATCTTGATCTGACTCTGGGCGCACTATTTCCACTTGCTAGTGCCAAGCCGTCGCGGCTGGTCTGTGACGCACGAGTGCTGTGACGCCGACGAGCTGCGCCCGCCAAGAACGAGTCGGACACCGAGGAGGTTTGCTTCGCCGTTGACTCAATTCGCAAAACACATCAGATACTGCCAGATTTCACAGGACCCGAGATTATCTCCGAGCAGTATTTGAAGGGTATAATTAGGCTTGATTTGAGACCTCTACAGCCTGTGTTCTTGGTGGGCATGACCATACCAACCGTTACGGAGCCATCCGACAAGATGGGATGAAGTTCCAAATGTTTGGATTCGTCCTCATGTGGGTGCTATTAATAGATTCATTCAAGGCTATTGTAACCTGTGGAAATAATCTCTCATCTCATCATGGGATGATTTGCGGCAGGGTATTACGACGACTGGGCCTTTCCCCCGTCGATGACAATCCAGTCGCAATACAGAGTACATGCGGTGAGTTGGTTTCAATTCTTGGCCGAGTCACGGAAGCTTGGACACACCCATCAAAACGACTCGCGGAGAATTCACGATGGCTCAAAGGAGATTCGCGTCGTTATTTGCGCAAAAGCAATTCTGTTTTTATTGGTGCACGCTATGTCATAATTCATCAGCCAGCCATCTAATGACGCGCAACGACTCCATCACGCTTTGGTGTCTCTGGCTCACTTCCCTCAGAGCGTAGTTCCCCATCATCATCATCGGGGAGAATGAACCTCCCGGAGACGGCTCCGAAAATGCATCTGTATCCTGGCTGGCCCCATCCTGGAAATCATAGCTAATTGACCCATGCCTAACCGGGTATCCACCTTGATTCTGTCCCTTCGTGTGGTTGATGGCAGGGTTCTCCATCGAAACGGCCACGAAGCGGCTCTCCGTGGACTTGTGTAACCGCTTCATCATTCGTGACAGGAGGAAGACAACAGAGTTGACATCCAAGTCGAAAGAGCTGACAAGGTTGAACTTGTTGAGGTTTCCCCCTGATGTGCTGTTGAAGAATGGCTGTGCCAGGCCCATGTCGCTGGCGGGACTCGGGCCCTGGCTTTGCCGGGAGCACTGCAGACGTGCTCGCAGAGCTGAGAGCAGCTCATCGTAAGAGTCCAAAAGAACAAGATAGCATGTAATGAAAAGAGAAATTGTGATTGCGTGGCTCGGGTTCTGTTGTAGCTGAGGATCCGGCGCCGCGTACGTGGCAGCGGGCGCGTTGAAGCCGGCAGGGTCAGATCCGGCACCCCAAGACGAAAGTGGCGAAGCGGAGCGCCGGCCCTCCACACTGGGTCGGAGCTGCGGGAGGCCCTCCACGATGTCGATGAGGGTCTCAGTCGAGTGGACTGTGGTGTTGATGAGAGCAGGCAGGCTGTCCATATTTTGTGCCTTTGCCATGTGGCGGGCGAACAAGTGAGACTGAAGCTCCAGCAGGCGCTGAGTCGCGGGCTCCGTGGACTTCGGCTCATGTTCCGGTGATGACGGGAGGGTGTCGCATGCGAACGACTCCGGATGTCCAAAATCGCTTGGTTGCTCGCAACTGGGCATCCATGCGTCTTCCGAGCCATTCGGGAGGGATCCGATGGTGGTTGGAGGAGTCAGTGGAAGTCCGTGGTCTGAAATCATTGTGCTGTCCTGATGATCCAAGAAACCCAACGAATCGTGGTCCATCCACTCCGTTGCCACCATCTTCGGGTCGTTATTTTGCAAGAGGCCAAGCAACGGGTCTTCGAAAGTCTCTGCCCAAGGTGCATCCTCTGCAGGATGACTCTGAATGATACCCAACCCATATTGAAACTCGTTCGTGTCGTTGTTTGGTGTTTGAACCAGTTCGGATTGGCTCGACTGAATAGTTGCGCTGGACATTGTTGAAGAGCGCCGGTAACCGGATGAAGGTTGTGGTTGTGGTGGTGGTACTGCTGCGCTGGTGTTTTCCTGGCCCAATCTCTTCTTCGCTGGTCTGCCCATCCGTCTCGGCGGGCTGTAGAAGCAGTCAATCTGGAGGCGTTGACATCTCTCGCACTTGGCAGCTCCAGACTCTCTGGAGCACCGGCTCTTAAGAGCTCGGCAACGATCGCAGGCACTTCTTTGTGAGAACAGCATGTTGGCGGCAAAGGTTCATGTACCTGCACGACAAATGAGAAGAGACGAATGATGTCAAAAGGATACTAAGTGACAACCAACGAAGCTTATATCTACTTCTTTCTTAGCCGCGAAGACCAGAGGCTTCAAAAATAGTCAACCTTGCCAAGATGCGCCCTAGCCACGCCAAGGACATCCGCGCGTTCGACTCATGTCGGGGTTC